GAAGGATTACAAAACAGGAAACATCACAAGATATATTAGCCGAATGCTTATTGATTATACTACTGAGTAATAAAAGCAACTGATTATTTACCGTACGTTAAATTTATATATACTTTAACAAATTAAGGAATAAATCCAGTTTAAATTACTGAATTAAAGTCAAATAGCTAATATTAAATATATCGTTCATGAACAAAATAAACCAAAATGAAATGAAACAGAAGCACATGCAATAAGCACACAACAAATTTACGTACTATTGCAATTGTAAGCAGTAAAACCAGCATCACTAACAGTCTTGAGTAGGGTTGCTTTTGATAAATAACCAGTATTTCCTCCCACGCCAAACGTACACCACTGAGCATGCGCAGTAAGCGAAATTCGTTAACATTGATCAACTCAATGTGCGGTTTGCTATTACGCGTCCGGGTTCCAGTCTCAGTGAGGGGTACTGCACACGTTTTACATCTCCAGTTTCAAAATAACCTAATGACTCTGTAAGCTCAGTGTAGCCTCTTGATAAACACTAAACGTTGCAGTTTATAAAATTCCTAACGTCAATTCCATTTATGGTAACATTACAAATCACTTACATACGCTAGCGATCTAACTATTTTTGCGCAAAATTGTAATCCGTATCGATAAATCAGGTAAAATAGTTCTGTTTACTACGAAATCATCGAACTACCTATCTAACGTCTCAGTCCTGTAAATATGCAATCAAAATTAAATCTGGTCTCAGTAATGTAATTAACTTGCAATTCTGTTAAAAAATCTGATGTATACACCACATGACTTCCTTGTACGGAATATTAAATTATACGCATTTTTTCTTGCATTTCATTAAACTTATTGGATTGAATTAAACCTACTTCGCCGATAGTGCATAAATCACAATAGAATAAATGCATTCTTTAAAATTCACTTTGTTTGCCATAGCGACACTCTGGCGCTAGGTTTACTTAACAGTATTATATTTCGTTCATATTATAATTTAGAATGCACAAAATTTATATCATTTAAAGAATTATCTAATCGTTGCTACATGTTCTATTCAAATACTATAATAAAAGAAACAGTTTTTCACAGACGATTGAGTATTTCTCATTCCATTAATTCAGTTTTCACTTTGCGACAAGGCAAAAATACATAAAAACTCAAAATATATGTATTAAAAATTACGAAGTAAATCTTAAACGCTTATTTCCTCGAAAAAATTTCAGAAAAGATTAAGCATGATTTAAATAATAAATGAAGGCGTTATCTTTGTTGTTGCGAAGCTAAGTTTCTCTAGACTTAGACAACTAACTCCGCTACTCCTGCTGTTTCAAATGTAAACAAGAGCAATGGCCGCCATTAAAACATTATTAGGCTTAGCGGCACTTAAACAAATTTAAAATTGTTAATAATTCTCAAAATATTGCATATAGATTTACTAAAGGCATAAAACCCTTAACCGGAAGATAAAAACAACATAATTCAATCATTTTTAAAGCAAAAAAAAAAAAAAAAAAAAAAAAAAAAAAAAAATGTACAATTTACAAACATATAAGAGTAAAGAAACTGAGATCAGTGAGCCGGGTAACAGACTGGATATATCTATAAATATATTTATATACGTTTGCCGCGGCCGATTGAAACCAAAATACGAGGTGCACATCTACATGTTATAGTAATCTTATATCCAAAATTTCAACGTTCTGAGGCTACTCGTTTTTGAGTTATGCGAGATACGTACGTACATACGTTCGTACAGACGCCACAAAAAATTCTCTTCAGAATTCATTTTAAAGCAGTTTTTTAGTTTTTTTTTTGGAGGAAAAGAGTCTTTTATTCTGCCCTTACGTACAGATATCACGCAAAAACATCGTTAAATTGCATTCGAAAGAAGTCAAAGTGGATATTTTAGTTGAAATATGCTGCCTGAAGCTTTTCGCGATTACTATACTTCCTTGTACGAAGTAAAAAAGTGCATAAACAGAAAATTTCTTTAAATAATTTCGATTACGTATTTTATTCTATTATTCGATGACACTATTTTCGTGCTTCACCATTTGTTACTATTATGAAGATGTAAAATACTTCATTTCATTTTTTCAACTAAGAGTAGAATTTTCAAAATTTTAGAATTTTATTTTTGCAACCGAGCCAGTTCTGCAGTAAAGTTTTTTAACACCTTGAAGGAAGTTATTATTAATAAAATTTTAAAAGCTTGGTAGAATAAAATTAATTAACATGATTATGTTTGAAAAATTGACAAAAGAGAGAAAAAAAAAAAATGTGGAAGAATCTAGCAGCAGTTCTTGGAGAATATTGTTACCAATGCGCAAAATGAAGACCTTTATGTAACAAACAAGCAAAAAACGCTTTAATTTCAAAACCTAAATGTAAAAATAACAAAAGGTAACAAGAATATTCATAACGTGAATTAATTTGCAGTGTTAGTGTTATAATTTCGAAAATTAAATATAACCCTCTTTTCTAGTTGCGCAAGTATTTTTCCCGCTTATTAATCGTTGCAGACCTTTAATTTATTTTCTGTGTGTCCTAGCCCATAGCCAGTATTCAGATTGTTCCCACTTGGAAAAGCATATTATCTTTAATTGTCTTTCAGATTTAATCGATCTGTTATTAATTGTATTAATTTCTCTGTAATGAATCGATCTGTATTAATTTAAATCTTTATTTCATTTTTAATAACGTATCGAATTTATGTAAATTAAAATGCATTTAACTTTCCCAAACATTTGAAATTTTATTGTAATTCATAAAAGATGCTTCACTCTTCCTTAAAGTATCGAATATAATGTGAAATTTTCAGACTGCAGTTTTCTCGCTCAGTATGCACGTTTCTGATATATAAAAAATATTACACAGCAATCTAGATTTTTTGATGATCTGAATGACCTGTCGTCCCAATTAGTATAGATATTTAGAATTCTGTAACTCTTACATGTTGCGTAAATGTGACTATTATTCTAAAATTATGCAAAAACGTTCATAAAGCTTTTGATGTAAATTGAATTTCTTAGTCTCCACAATCTCGGTAGGTAAATTAATTACTATACTCTAAAAAAACTTCCGGATTCGGCTTTTTTGGAATTTCTTTCTAAACTTACTGTTCATTATGTAACTGATAAAGGCATACAAATGATTAAATATTCTATAAGATGCGAATTTCTTCTCATGATCAACACATTAATATTCTTTTAAATTAATAAACTGGTCAAAGTTTGCTTCTAAACTCTAGCAAGAAAAATCAACAATGATTCTTTTATATTAACTTCCTGTCCTCTCCGCTTAATAGTCCTTTAACTCTTACATGTTGCGTAAATGTGACTATTATTCTAAAATTATGCAAAAACGTTCATAAAGCTTTTGATGTAAATTGAATTTCTTAGTCTCCACAATCTCGGTAGGTAAATTAATTACTAAACTCTAAAAAAACTTCCGGATTCGGCTTTTTTGGAATTTCTTTCTAAACTTACTGTTCATTATGTAACTGATAAAGGCATACGAATGATTAAATATTCTAAAAGATGCGAATTTCTTCTCATGATCAACACATTAATATTCTTTTAAATTAATAAACTGGTCAAAGTTTGCTTCTAAACTCTAGCAAGAAAAATCAACAATGATTCTTTTATATTAACTTCCTGTCCTCTCCGCTTAATAGTCCTTTAATTAGAAGGGTAGGAGTATAAGGAACTAAGACATTCATACCTTGCTGTACGCTAAGAATTAACTGCTGACATTTTTCTTATTTTCATTTTCAGTTTTATTACATGTGAAAATTTCATCAGGGGAGGAACTATGATTATATGACTATAAGACAATTAGATTTTAATGTTTAAATGCTCCTTTTAATTAATTAAATTGAAAGGACATTTTTAGATCGAAATATTATCTTGCTTTCCAATTAGAAAACTGCTTATTATAACATGGTATGTAAGAACATTGAGTTTGAGTTACGTTCTGAATTAATATTATCAGGAACTATTGTATTTCCCTACTTTCATCCGATTTTCCCTTCAAAAAGCCTCTACAATGGCATTCGAATTAAAATGTAGTGGAAGATAATTCATCGCCACATAATCGACTGGGTTTCGTGCCTCTCTCTAGACAATGGTGAAAGAGGTATAAGGAATTATCGTACTTCGCTCCACATGTTCCCATCGTGATATAAGTGGTAGTACGTTTATAAGTAACTGAAAGATCTACAGTTCCAATTCTGAAGAGGGTTCAATATAATTCTCGCGTTTGTTGGCTTCGAAAGAACTTAAATGTCTCTATAATACTATGGAGCTGGCTAGCAAAACTTTCAGTTATGTATCGGCTAATATAGAAAATTTAGCAGAAGCGGAATTTAATCACAATTAGAAAAAAATTTGCAGTTTAACTTCTGAGGAGCAAAATTTAAATTCTTACTCAAAGATTAATTTAAAATTATTTAAAAAGCGAATTTCTTTCCATAGGAAGAACAAATCTTTTTAAGCGCTATTAAAACTTTTAGAACACAAACAGCTTTTTCACTTCGTAAAAGGAAAACTATCATTGCTTTCAAAACAGTTTTACTGTTCGGTGATTGAAAAATTAATTAAAATTTTAACAATTCATTATTTGTCAAGATACTTGTATTATATATTATGCTGTGCTTATATTTTTGTTATAATGATTATAAAAAAAAACAAGACTCGCATCAGGAAGAAAACAGACAAACTCGCATCAGGAACAAACAAGCCTTTGTAGATACATTCGACGTGGAAAGCAGCGTTATAAGGGAGAAAAAAGTAATGCATCAAAAATCAAGTTATATTGGTGATACTACATTATCATACCTTCACGCAACTTTTAAGTTTCTTGCTGTAATACCTTGTAAGGTTTGCTTATGTTAATTAACCAGTTATTTATGTTCTGAATCTGTACTGTCACTTCTCTTTTAGAAAAAGTAATTAATGTAGTCTTATAATTAAAATCATTAAAAAACTTTTCTCTTGCAGCGTGCTAGCGGCACTTACTATGGTGCTCCATCCCGAAGTTACGGAGTAAAGGTAATTGTCCAATTATTTAAAGGTTTTGAATATTTAAAAACAATAAAATTGTATTTTAATGCTATTAGGATTTAGTTATCATTACTAATTTTTGAAGGTACTTACGTATTATCGCAACCAGGTTGGCGCGATTTGTAAGTTTGAGTAAAAAAGTATGAATAGAAAGAAAATGTACATTTATTAATTACAGATAATTTTTAATACAGTTTTTTATATTATTTTGTTTTAAAATATAAAATAGCAACTAAACCCTTCCGGTTTCGAATTTGAATAAGTTGCAAAATTATTTTTTCGGCGGCGGAAATCTTTTGGCTATTGCTTTTAGCACTGATTGAAAACCGTCTTCGCCATTAACAGCTTGAGCTTGGCGCCATATAAATTCGATAAGGTATGAGTCAAGATGATGACGGGCTGTTCCTCTCTGTTTTTTGTTGCGCCATTTGGCTGAGCCCCACATGCGCTCTACATGTTGTGTGTGAACGCCCGTGTTGGGATCCACAAAGTTATATTTGTGATTAACAGTTCCATGCAGAAATCCAGCATTTTCGAACTCACTTGTATTGTATCCTTTCCAGCAATCCGAATAAATGATGCTTCCTTCCTTGATATTTTCGCAAATTTTTTCCATGAGGGTAACGGCGCTTCTGTTAGGTACAGTAACCAAAAAAGTCTCTTTCTTTTCTCGGCAAATTCCGCCGAAAACCCATTGCTGTGGTAGTACACGCCCAGTGTTATTTTTTCTTTTTACAAATAAACTTTCGTCTATTTTCACACACGTAGGGTTGCCGTAAGTAGGGTCGCCAAATTTGGCGATTTATGCGAATTTTGGCCTGGTTGCGTTAATACGTAAGTACCTTTTTGGATGCTAATAACTTTATAATAATGAAGTTAACCCAAAATGCTAAACTACTGAGACAAAAACATCAATGTTGGAAAATAGTCTTATTTATACGAGGATATTTGTTTTGAATTTTATCATTTAAATCAGTGACCAAAATTATCTCATTCAACAAGGAAAAGACACTAAATTTAAAGATTTCAGTTTTTTAGTTTGTCTAAAAGTATTTATTTAAACCATCTGACAAATTCTTAAGTATTCCAGAAACAATCTTTCAGTGTCAGCATAATTTTAGATCGAAGTTGGAAAGAAATTTCCATAGAAAAAAAATCGCATTAAATGTAGAGTAATATCAATTGGATGTAATTATTTTTAAAAGATAATGTAACAAGAAAAAAAAAATAAGGGATTACTTCAAGAAAGCACACTAGTTTAATATTATTAAAATGAAGAATTTAGAACTCAAATTTATATAACGAATATCGCATTAAGTTAGCCTTGAATTGCTGTAATTGAAGAAATTCTGTGGCGAGTTTTAAATCCTTTTCAATATACTGACAATGAACCTGAGTTTGAAATATTAAAAGCAATTTATAATATCCAGATATTTATCGGCTCACCAAAGGCCGAGCGGTAAAGTCGCTGAACACTGGTAGTTCGGTCTGAGGTTTGAATCCTTCGAGCTGGCTGGCTGAACGGACGTTTTCGTGGCTTTTCCCCACGTGTTTATGTGTATACGAGCCAGTTTCCTTCGAGGCTTTGCCGTAATCACAACCTTATTCAGCTGAGTCAACTTGTGAAAAACTAAATATTTCCCATCGACCCTGTTTCTGGAATACAATGGCCGATCGTTCAGAGAAAAAGGATTCTTTCCGAATGTTGCTTGCTCAAAAGTGTGAGAAACCTTATTTTCTGCACACATAAGAGTTTAGTTCTACATTCAGAGTAATATGGAATAATAATATTTTGAAAACCTAAAAAAAGAAATTACGTCTTAAACAAAGTATCATTTTCAGAAAATCTTATTTTGGAACATTGTAGATCAGTGTGAAAACGCAGCTATACTGAGACAAACTCGCGTTAGGAACAAACAAGCCTTTGTAGATGCATTCGACGTGGAAAGCAGCGTTATAAGAGCAGAAAACAAGTAATGCATCAAAAATCAAGTTATATTGGTGATACTACATTATCATACCTTCACACAACTTTTAACTTTCTTGCTGTAATACCTTGTAGGGTTTGCTTATGTTAATTAACCAGTTATTTTATGTTGTGAATTTGTAGTGTTACTTCTCTTTTTCTGTTTTCCTGCCGAAATGCAAATTAGCTCGAGTGCATTTAAGTCGGGATTTGAGATTGTTTTGACAGACTGTGTTCTGCCTGCCGAAGGCCACGTTACTATTTGTTATTCTAAGATACGAATTCCTGTCGTCGGCGTTGCTTTATTCTTGCACTTTCACGCCGGTGTAAGCTTACGAGCCAACTTCTGAGTTTAAATTTCTGTGCGTAGCCTTTGGTTGATAGATACTCAGATTTAATTTTAAATTTAAATCCTACTTTTGAATTCTCGTCATAATTGCTGGCTGAATTGTAAGCACCAAGTATGCTTTCCATTCCATTTACTTAGTTTAAAATAAAAGGGTCTTTTCCACCTTTCTTACTTTCTTTTTCTTCTTCATCTTAGACATAGCGATTAGTCGCTTACAGTTTGATCGAGGATTTGCCACAAGTTAAATTAGTAAAAGATGTATTCTCTATAACTGTAATGATACAATTTCTGCGCACATATTTCTTCTAAGAGTCAGTGCTCTTCCACATATATATCTCTAGAAACAGAGTGTCTTAAAGAAATTTTCCACCCTAATTTTATTGCCCTGTGGGAAAAGCAAAGATATAGTTTTATGCGTTTCATTTATTTGAAAAATGCTGCATAACCCTCTCCTTGGCTTAGAACATATGTGTTATGCGGTAATGGATCAATATGATAAATAATTGGGGAAAACGAATAACATGGAAGTGCAGAAGATTTTGATAGCGGTTTAATAGAAATGAATGCATTCAGTGCCTAAATATTGCTAAAAAGTTATTAATTTCTATTCCAAAAACGAAGTCTATTATGCATTTGCAAATATTTATTATATGAGTTCAACAATTTTTTAAACTTACTTGACTAATTTAAAATTAACATTTTTTTTCTGTTGCTAGTATAAAAATTAACTTATAGATTTTTGATTTTCTTGGGAAGCATACACTACACCAAAACTCTGAAAGACAAATGATATACTATAGCTACGTCTTGTAAGTATCACAAAGAGAGGGAAAGAATATAAAGGACACTTTAATTAATCCAAATAAAGTTGGTCCAAAACAGGTGGCACCAATTCGTGTTTACAGAAGCCAACACTTTTGGCTTTAAATCAAAGATGACGGGTAAACTAAGGTTAATGATATCTGAGACTAGCCTAAGGGCATCACAGTTTAATTAGCGAGCAGGTTGACTACGACTGAAGTCGGCGTAAGCAAGCAATGGGAAGAACAACTCAAGGCTGCAGAATTCTAGCGTTAGAGAATCAAAGTTAGAAACGTGGCCTTCAAGCAGGCAGAAGATGCTCTGATTTCACCCTCCAAAACCTTCCCTTAAATACTTCCTTCTTTCTTTTTAATTTGAATATCGCACGTGCTAGGAATTGCTTTTTGCCAGGGAAATGAAACGAGGCTTTATAGGAAAGGGAGTCAATACAAAATAACGAGTTATAAAATTAAAATGAACCGTACAAACTAATGCCACATTCTAAAACGACTGTGTCTTAGAATTGAAGAAATATGGTACTTCGCAGTGATTTTAATTTTTGATTCATTTTATTTTTCAGACACCAAGCTATGGCTCCTATGGAAGTTACTCTAAGCCTTCTTACACCCCATCCTCTTCCGTATACGGATCCTCATACATCACTCCAAGAGAAAAATCTGTAGATCGATCCACTGCTGGATACACATCTGACTATGGAAAATCCGGATATACTTCAGATTATGGGAAATCTGGATATGCCTCCGACCGCAGCCGAGTGGGTTATACATCCGATTATAATGCTAAACCCAATACTAATTACTCATCCTATTCCAAACCTTCTTCGTATGGATACGAAAGAAGTCTTAGCAGACAGAACAGTATCACTGGATCTGATAGGTTATCTAGACAGAACAGCCTTTCGCGGAACAATAGTCTATCTAGACAAAACAGTATCTCGAGCAGTGATAGCTTGTCTAGGAGAAATAGTTTGAACAGAAGAGACAGCCTTTATGATAGACGTGACAGTTACAATGTCTTGAACAGTTTACCAGCAATGAATTATAATTCTTATTCTAGGTCTCAGAGTAGGGAAGATGTTTCTCCTAAAGTTAATGGTGTGGTCAAGTCTGATTCAAAAACAAGGTAACAGTGGACTTAAATAACATTTTCTTGTGAGAACTGTTAAAACAGTATAATCTGATATAAATATTTTTCATTATTTGTTAGTCTTGGATCTAACTGAATTACTTCAGTAATTATTTTCACACAGATGAACATTGCGTTTAAAATATGCGTATAATTTTTATATCAATTAGTTATTCTAGCAAATATATTAAAATTCCTTATGCCTAAATTAGTTTTTATTAACTTCATTAAGCACAGGGAGAAACCCATAAGAATTTACATTTATCTTCAACGTTCTAAAAGGATATTACTCATATGTGTAACAATGTGAATCATTCAAAAACAATTCCGTTCTTAATAATACATAGTGAAAAATGTTATTAAAGTTTATATATTAGCATAATTAGAATAAGAGGCTATAGGATATGTGCCCCCCCCAATTGAAAATTTCTAATACTTACTTCTTGTAGATACTATTGTCTGCATCAAATAAAAATATAATAGTAATAAAAATTATGTAAAAAACTCGTAGGTTATAATTATATGTACAATGTTTTCCTTTTAATGTGATTCAAAAGCAGTGTAATTTTAATTATATTTTGATACTTTTATGTTCAGAATAAACCTACTAAATTTTGTGAAATTAACGATTATGACTGAGAAAACGCACATTTACAAACATGCGTATTAGAAAGGCATATGAAAACATAAGCTGCTATAGTAAAATAGGCAAAAAATACAAAATTGGAAAGTTCACGAAATATATTATACAAAATATGTCGGCTATCTAACATCGTGGTAGCAAATTTAATTTCATGTGGGTGAGTAATTAATTAGCCCAAAAAGGGCGTTATCCCAAATGGGCCACTAATCTCGAAGCAGGATTTTGCGGATCCAGTTAGCAGGATCCACTACCAACGGCGCTGCAAGTAAAACAGGATCCACAATAAACGGCGAATCACTTTTCAAATTGTTGCCACCAAATACTGTCGTCTTGTATTATTTTTAAAGAAATTAAATGATGAAGAATCTGCATCTAAGTATACATATTCCTCGCATCGTGAAAAAACGACTGTACCTAGAGCCGTTGTCTTCCACATGAACATGGGCACCTGAAAGCCGGAATTTTAAATTTTGAATTTTATATTCCATATTTTGTAATACTTTAATCAATTTTTGTTTAAAAACAAATTTATTTAATTTGAAATGAACCGTGGCAACAGATCCGTAATCTGTAGAGATTAAAATACTGTTATATCTTGCAGGCGAGATTGTCTGTCGGATAATCTAAAGATATGCTATTTTTAAACATTTTGTTATTTTTCTGTTGAATCGAATTTTATGTGGCATAATCGCCAAAAACGGAATATTTAGTAAATAAAGTAAACACACAAAATCCTTAATAATAAAAAGACAAGAAAAGTTTTGTAAAACCATCTTCGTAAGAAAACTGAACATTAATATGATAAACTGAGAAAAGACTTAAAAAAAAAAAAAAAAAACTGAAAAATGTATGCCAAAACATAACGCTGCATCGGGAATTCTAAACGTATACTGCTACGCTACTTTTAAAATTTTTGTCATTTTGCTGTTCATTTGCATATATAGCGTTAAGTGTGTAGAAAATGATACTTAATAATAAAGCTTTTAAAAAGAAAGAAAAAAAAAAAGAAAACTAGTTAGTAACAGCAGATTGGTCGATTGCGAGCCAAGAGAGAGCGTAAAAAACCTTAACAAACCCTTTTGGGCGATAGTTAAAATCTAAAATGTTTCGGATTTTTTAACCTTTTATGTCTTAAATTTTGTATGCATTCTTTTTTTGCTGCTTATTTATTTTTATTTTCTGATGCAGAGCGAACTGTAAAGCTCCAGCGGACTTTTCATCAGAAGAAGCAGAGTCTGAAGAAGAGACTGAGTCGGATGATTCCGAAGAGCTTGAGGCGGATGAGAAGCTCATGGTAACAAGAGGCACATCTCCCACCAGAGAAACTACGAACGGAACATCTAGTACACTCGCGACGACGCGAAAAGAGAAGAAAAAAATAACAGTAAAACTTTTCTACATGTTTATTAACTGATTAAATAATTTTGCCGTGTAAATTTGTGTGATAGTTTTGAAATATTAAAAACATAAATAAAATTTTTTATCTTTCCTAAGTAAAGTATCTAATAGCCCTTTAAGTGAAAAAAAAATATTTCCTTGATGTTCATTTGAAATTTAAAATTATGTATTTATGTAGTATTAGTTACTACTTAAATATTGTAACAACAGAATAGAATAGAATTATATTTGATTAGATTTTCTGCAGTCATGATTAAAGGGCCGTAATTATCAAAATGGTTTTAGATAGAAAAGTCAAAACTATCAAATTGTTATAAAAACGTAACTCTAACAGTGTTTTTCAGAGGCCAATTATCCGGACTAAATGTCAAGTTTTGTGTGAACATCAAATTCTGAAATTACTTTGAAATCGAATATCGCATTTATTTAATTGTAAGCAGACATCGTTTCCAAGCCTTTCTCAGAAAATCAAAAACGAAAATAAATAAAAAATAAATCATACCAACCAATGACACGTATTCTAAAGTACACTTTTGTAAGTAAACTAAAGTACACGATGCACACTTTTAGAAAACGAAAAAAGTGAAAAAGGGCTTCTTGCTATCGAATAAATACGAAAACTTTTGTAAAAAACTATCAATAATTTTTTTGATTAATTTTCCGATTTGCTCGTGCTTTCAGATGTGCTGAAGAAGTGCTATATTAAAAAAAATATATATTTAGATAACTATTTAGTTCACGCTTTTTTCATAATTTCATTCATTAGAATGTCATAGATTAAATAAAGAAAACATGGAAACATTATTTTAAATAAGAAGCTAATATGTACCCAGTGACAACGGATCTCACGAATGAATAATTGCAGTTAAAACATTCAGAGTGCCAAAAGGGAAAATTATGAAAAAAAAAGGGCAAACAATTTATTTTAAATATTCAGTTCATAAAAGGGTTTCATAAGTAAGAAATTGATTACATATTGTGCAGGAAACAAGTGCAGTACGAAACAATAACTATTGAGACCAAGCACCGTCGTGCACGCAACAGACGTTCAACTGCACTCGATTATTTACAGCTTTGATATGCTTGCAGATTTATTAAAATAATTATAGCTCTTGGGTCATTCAGAACTCACTAAAGAAATTCTACACCATAACCATAAATAATGCCTTGCGTCTTCTAGTATGTATGAGCTAGTATGTTTGTGTGTATGAGCTTAAATGATAACCAACTGCTGAGGTAGCCTCCTTGGAGGACCTCCCTTGCCTCCTTTCTTGGTCAGTCACCTTCGATCCCGGTTGCTAAATGAGTAGCACAAGTTGGGACTGAGGGACCGAGGACGCTTTAATATCCTTTCAACTGTCAACCATCTTGCGTACACAGGGAAAAAGCTTCCGAAGGGAAATCAGAAATTTCCTTCTCAATCTATCCACCGATCATGTTTGTGTTCGTCATCACTTTTCTAAAATGAAGAGTTCATTCTTCGCACCACTTTTCCATATAGCCACGTGTAGGTCTACCTGGATAAATGGAGTTTTACTATATCTAAATAACTACTAAATTACGTCTAAAAATTATTTTAGTAATCTGAAGTGTTACATTTTTCTGGTGCATATGATAAAACTGTGCAATATTTTTTTTAAATATTTAAATTGAGTATGAAGATTTTGCATATTGTAAAATATTTCTAGTATTATATTGAACGTGTAACATTTGTTCATTTTGCTATCAGCCGAACGTACCGAAAAAAATGACTGAAAACTCCTGTCAAGTAGTTCCAGAAGAAATGCCTGCTAGACGTCAGAGATTTATATCTTCTCGTCCTACTAGTCTTTATATAAATAAATACTATCCCAGTTCGAGCAGGTTCTCATCTACACCATCTTCACGTGTCTACGGATCGAACAGTAGTGAAAGCCGTGTCAAATCGCCTGAAAAGTCTCCTCCAACTTCAACTAACAAAACGCAGCTAACAGTCGACGAGTCTCCCTCAGCAGGAGGCTTCTCTAGAGATGCATCACCTAATGAAAGACAGCCAACGGAAGAACCGAATAAGGTTGGTATCAAAATATATGCTTGTACAGAGACGATAAATTTGTGCATTTTTATGTTAACACTTAAAAGCAGGCCTTTTTACCTAATGTTTCTAAGTTTCCAGGAACTATATATCTTTTATAAGCGGTTCTCGAGTTGTAGTCTAAATAATTCTAGTTATGGGTTGGCAAAATACATTTTTAAATCAAAACTTGATTTATTATTTAATTTCATAATGAAATTGCGATTTAATGATTAGATCGAAATGCATACTATATGAAAGGAATCCTGAAAAGTTTAACTTTACTAATCATCGGAAACTTACATATAATCAGTTATATTTAAACAAATTTTAAATTTAATGACTTTAACTCTGCAACTATTGTTTTCAAAGAGAAAATTGAATGTCATTAGGCGGTTTTATTAAGCTTCAAAGATGCAGCTTTAAGGCAAAATATAAGAATTAAAGCTGCATCGTCTATTTATTGATATAGATTTCTTCATCATTTATTCTGTTCATCTAGATGAGATCTAGAGGACTCATCGACCGTGCTATTACGTTATTACTTTGTATTTTTCTGCACGTCGGTAGATCTCGAAGTAACCCACAAAGAAAACTGGTGACCTCAAAATGGGTGGGCAGCTTTGATCGCGAAGAAAGTGCGTAGAAAACGGTATTCGATAGGCAAGCAATATATAAAATTTCCTTTTTATTTTTGATTAGCTTCGATTTCTATGTATGTTTTGAACTTTAAAAGCGACTGCAATTATGCGTTTCTATTTGACATACTACATAACTGTTTATTGCTATTTTGAAACCTACGCATGTGTTTATCTATCGGAATCTTAACTTTCTTCTTTTATAGTGAAATATGACATTTCAAGGAAATCTTGCAACTTTTTGGTTTCAATGTGTACCTTTTGTCTTGCTTGTAGTTTCATTTTTTTATCTATTAAACTAATTTATGTAGTTGCAGAAGTATTCGGTTATACTGTAGAGATATTAGGCTATTTCTGATATGGCAGACGTGAAAAACGAGTAATGCCCTCACCGGGACTTGAACCTCAGACCACTCGAATACGCGCCGAGCGTGCCGACCATTATACCAGGAAGGCACGCTAAGGACGCGGGGAAAATGCCTTATAATTCGTAACCTCAAACATGACGAGAATAAACGAGAAATTTTATTAAGCTAAGAATTGCATGTAATTTGTATTATCGTGCTGATACAATTTTACGGTTTTCGTTTAACTTGTTTAACAGTTACTCTAAATTTCTTCATCCAGGACTTTCGAAAATCAGTCCTCAACATGAACGTTGACGAAAATTTAAAAGACGACATTGAACGACGGCAAGAGGAAATGCGTCGCCATCGACGACGGCACAGAGACCCCAACACCCTAAGTGTTGAACAACAATCCTCATCTGCTTCCCCTACTTCCTCAGACGACGAAAAGAAACAACACGACCAAGACTCTGACGTTAAAAAACGCAAAGTACTTCGAAAATCACCGTCCAGAGCGGGTAAGAAAATAATATTTTAATTCGGACATTAATGATACATAAGGCCTTCCATAATATTATAACACATACTTTTATTTTGATATAAGTTATAAGGAAACTCTAATGACTCTATGGAGCAATTATGCACACATTCTTAAATGGTTGGATTCCTAACGACGTAGCAAAAAGATGATATGCCTGTTCCCTTGACGGATAATAAAGTTAGGCGTGGATCTGAAGCGAAAACCAAGGTTTATTACTTTAAGCATATTCTGGAATGGAGCCCTATGACAAGTATCTTAACGTGGGCAGTCAGTGTTTTTCCATACTAAAGATCCATAGTTTTACTTCAAAAGTGTGCAAATTATTTATGGACAGAGCCACAAAATATATTTAAATAAAAAAAAGGAAACTGGCATTTAAAGGATTGTTACAAAATTCCTCAACTCTATATCCCAAGCTCTTATACAAATGGAACGTTCCAATCTTTTCTTCGAAATCTAAAGACTGAGTTGCATAATGTTATTCAGTGACCTCGAATGTACCAAAATGTTAAATTTTTCAATGCGCAATTCACAAAACATCGATGTATTTCAAATAAATTTGATATCGCATTAATCTCTTCCCTAATTTTATTTTGTAATGAATGATCTCCCCCGCTTAAATTTCAGTCTATATACAGAGTAGCCTTACTTCTTCGTACGAAATAAAGGAAATATTATAAGCGAGAAAAACTGTAGGTATCGTATTTTAGTGGAAATATCCATTTTGACCTTCTTGGTGTAGATGACTAAAATACATTCGTAAGGAGAAAATGCAGTCAACGCCAAGAGGAACATTTTCTTATTACGTGTCACACGTCTAGATAGATGGGTACTATGGTACAGGGTGAGATATCGAAAGGTACTCAAACATCGCTGGTCTTCATCACAGACATTTTGATAGCCCAATGGTACGCTAATAAGGCCCTGCAACAAGTAGCTCTGCCCATTTGTGTACTCTCGTTTCCTGCTCTATACTCGTCCTCATACTAAACAACACCTACATACTCTTCCTTGTATTGCTGGCATCTCAAGGGCTTGCTTTTCGGCCATGAATGCTCTGCAGTGGCAGAGAGCATCGCTACGACTGTTCTCGATTATTTTCGAGCACTTGCCTTTTAAGAAAGAAAGCCTTTTAAGATTTAATATACATCTATTAGTTTAGCTTTGAATAAGGAGAAATTATTAATTTAGAAGTCAAACAACAAAAATAAGCGTAATCGGTAAAACGATCGAAACTAGTCCTGTGAAAATTTGAAAAATATTACTCTGATTTTTGTTGTTTGACTTCTAAATTAATAAAAATCGCAATAAGAACCTTCTATTTAGCGTACATATATTAAAACACTCAATCGATTTCGAGGGCAGCTAAAGGTCCCTCCTCATCATGAGAACAAAATTACTAGAAAGGGGAAAAAAGAAGAAAAATAAATCATCGGCAAAGGAGTCGCAGAAACACGTGGTCGTGATCAGCACTGCACGTGGTCGTAACCGGATTTTGAATCAGAGTTACACTGGCCGCCTACTTTTACTGAGCCAGGGTATCTGATCAAACAATTAACACATAGACTAAAACGCAAAGAAAATCAGAAGTCAAAAAAGAGAGAGCGAGGGGCAACTGCATTTTCACGCAACCTTTAGCTGCCCTCGAAATCGACCGAGTGTTTAAATATATGTACGCTAAATACAAGGTTGTTATTGCGATTTTGATTGTCACATTGGCGTGTTTCTCTTCTATTCTAAATTAATATTTGTTCGGCGTGTTATTGTATCTTAATTAAGGAGTTTTTAGAAGTTAGTTTTTAGAAGTTTTTTTTTAATTTAGAAGAAGTTTATTTTAATTTTCATTATGGCCAAATACATGTGTTATGAAAACATGCTGGCCGAATTGTCTTTTAGAAAACTATCATCTAAAAAGATGTGGGTTATACCTAATTTTGCAACATCTACTGCTTCTGAACCAATGAATTTTAAGATTATAAACAGAATATTCGAGTAAGACAAACTTAGGACCGATCTGCAGATAGAGGGATTCTGTAGATAGAGGTGGACAGAGGGACATAGATAGATCCGAGCTTATTTGCGTGTTGATATCAAAAACACTGAAAAAATTTGTTTCTCAGAATATCACCTTTAAGTAGAAAAAAATAGAGGCACGTTAGGGCTCAGCAAAGGGACCTCATGTCCTCTTTCAATAACTCTTACATAAGGATTATATACTTAAACTGTAACTTGAAATACACATAGAATGAAACATTTTTGTTACAGGTATCCTGGCTAAATGTGGTTCTCGATCAAAAGTGGAAACATCTGTGAAGAAAAGTCCCTCCCATGTTAGAGTCCGACGTGTGAAAGAAGACGGTTCTGAAGCAGCGGCTACTTCCAGTTCTAGTTCCACTTCATCTTCTTCATCTTCAGAAGATGAGAATAAGAGGTTTGTTTCGTGCTTTAATGCAAATTCATATGCCTTAACGTACATGTTTCGTGTCTTAATCATTTCATTAAACTCTTTTACTTAAAAACAAATTAAAACGTTCCTATAAAAACCTAAAACTGGATGTAAATTATACCCTGTACTTGAAAAGTATTAACTCCTGTACACATAATACGTTAAAATTAGCTTCTGGTAATTTACTAGTATATGATTTTGAGGGTTGAGATAAATTCAAAAATCCGATTTTTGTGGTTCATTAAATGAACAAAGTAAAAAAAAATCAATCGTTGAGAAACATCTAAAAAGATGTTGGTGTAATTTTGCAACATCTACTTATTTTACAACATCTTTTACGAAAAATTAACACGCCGTGGAAAAGGCAAAAATTCCTCATATTCTTCACATTTAGAAGGGCGATTAAGTAAAGAGGAACGAGACCCAGTCGACTAAACTTAGATGGTGACGAAACATCGTTCACTATATTTTTATTCGGGAGTCGCTGTAAATCTATTGTATTTTTAGGAGCAAGAAACATGAAAAATCAGGTATATTCTATCAGTTGCAAAGCGTCTCAGATTTTAGGAAGTTCCATAAAATGTTTCCTTTCAAACTATTTGAAATTCTCAATTTGCCAGCCAAAGAAAATTGCACTTACATTGTAAGGATTATGTTAATTTTATTAACAGTTAAATTTTAAGTTAAAGTTCGTTTCCTGTCAAATTCTTCACTTCAACTTACTACTTCTAGCCAGAACGTAGTTTTGGAATCTTGTTGAATATTTAATGAGGCTCGGTATTTAAACCACGAAGTTACTTACTGAGTCAGAGAGAATCAGAGTTTCTGATTTACGCGCGTCTGCCTTTTTGGCCACTCTCGCTCTCAAAGCTGTTATTACGCTCGGCCGTACTCAGGCCCTTGCTAAGCTTCGTAGTCAAATAAGTTAAGGGGCCAACTCGATTTGAACCTTGATAGCTTCGGCTATATTTCTTTAGTTAATCTTAGTTTTAGTTTAATTTTTAGTCTTTTAAGTTTAAGCCCAGGTGCAGGCTTCGTTTGTACTCTCCCAGGCGAAGTTTTGTTAAATCTTATTGGAATAATAAAGAGTTAGTTACCCTTCTATATTGTTGTTTCTTGTCACCAAACTTCAGCGATTATTCGCTTATCAGTTCTTAGAGTCTTCCCTTCCAACATTAACTTAGAATTACAAAGTGAGGAAACTCTACAACATAAATTGTAAAAACTGAATTTAAGCTATAAGAACTGCCTTTCGATTTCCTGTCCTTTATAATGCGGCCATTCTAATCACTTAATCCAACCTGCTATGAAGTTTTATGCATTTTCATCTCTTTCTTATCCGTTTTGTATGCAAACTACCGAAATCAACAGCACGAATGCTCACCTATTGTTACTGGTTATATGCGCATATATATGCACAACTGTACTGGCGGTTAGCGTAAGTTGCGAGTATAAGGTGTGCTAGAAAGCATCCACCAAAGAATGTAATTTCATTCTTTCTAGTACCTTTAATTTAGAAATTAAACAATGACATACTATGGATATTGTTGAGATAAAGAGAATGATCGGAAAAGGGAGCTTAGGTAAAAAAACATTAAACATTTTCCCTATAAATTTTTAATGGAAATTGAAATAAGAACACAAGTCAGTCATTTGATGACCAATAGGAACATATCCCATTTTTAACGTATTCGTAGTTTTTTTTTTTTTTTTTTTTAATTTCTACTAGGAAGAGCTATCCTACCCCCCCCCCCAAAAAAAAAAATCGTCACGACCCTGCCTGCATGCTGCATTAAAAAAGAGCCTTATTGGCCTAGGGTTTAAAGTATTTTCCCCCCTTTGCTTTATAGTACACTCCGTAAACATTTTTCTTTTTGAAGTGAACAGATCCTTTGGATGTGTCCTCCAAAATGAATGAAACGTACTAATTCTATATTCGAGCCCTAGAATAGGAGATCTTTGGATTTTCCGTAAAAAATCATGAAATAAATAAGCTATGGAACACGCTTTCTTAACTTCGTAATTTCATTGCCTTTTCAGTAATCCAAACATCTTGACGTTTTTAATAGATTTAAATTGTAATGAATTTATATCGTAACAATTTTTAAAACAACAAGAACAATTATTTATTTATTGTTTAGTTATTAACATTCATCATTTACGGACAGTTCTCCTTATACTTACGAGAACGAAGTACCTTATTTTAAAAAGCAGGTTCTGGCATCAAAGCATAAGTAACAAAGTAAAAAAGAAGAAAAAATTTTCACAGCTGAAAATAGAATGCCAAAAAGTGAAAGAAACTTAATACGTAAGCTTTCAGTTTGCTTCCCGCACTTTCCCACGCATTAAAGAGACGAGAAAACTAAAATTTGAATACAGTAGTAAAGCTGATAAAAAATTTGAACAATCACGCAATTCTCATTCTGGAAGATAAAGTATACCCTTAAAATGGTTGTTCTACTTCCTGATGAGAATCAATGCATTTCTTTTTCGCTTAGAAACTTGGAGATCTACTACTTTAAAAAGCTTAGATTAATAATTTACAAGAGCAAAATTGATTAACCTCCTTTTAGATTGTTTTCGTAAAACTTGTGTGCTCCGACAACCGCATTAAGACAGCATTTTCGTTTTTACGTAGCAATCATCTCTAAGAAAGATGCTACATTGGCCCGAACAACAGATTAAATAGTCGAAAATATTCTTTTGGCCGGACGGTTTTTAGTAGCCTTTATATCCTAGAATGCAACTATCATCGCTAAATCTAAGGATAAATATGGTTAAATATACTTTCATAACCAATTTAATTTTTCATTAATGATTCAGTTCTTGTTATCAGTGCGGCTCATATGATAATTTTCAGACAAAATGGTCAATCTTAAAGAAATTTAAATAAAGTAATAGTTGCAAAAAAATTATGTAACTTAGGATCTGGTTAAATCTAAAAATGTGGAAACATTAAAAAATGCATTTTTTTTAACCTTAAACTGCAAATCTGAAGTATAGCCAAGAAATTTTAGTGGTAATAAAGAAATTATGATACTAGTGCGAGGTTAGAAGTTTATAAGGTATTTTCTCATTCCTTGCATCATGCCATCGTATTCGAGAGGTACGGTTTTCGAATCCCAGCGATGGCATTGCACATTTTTCACGTCTCCTGCTTAAAAAAATAAATAAACAAAAAACTAATAACTTCCATAGGTTAATAAAATGAAAGGGGAGAACGAGAAAGAGATTACCCTCCCTTCCTCCCTCAAAAAACTGTTGAAAAGAAATATAAGTTTATTGCTGTTTATTTTTTGATACGTAAAATATATTAAATAAAAAAATCTTTATTGCATTTATTTTTACACAGCGTACATTTTAACTGTAATTTTCATGAAGTAAAACGTTTCGTGGAATATATAATAAGTACAATATGCATTAAATTAAAACGCCTAGATTCCTTTCTTTAATAATATTATCATTTTATTTTAAATTAATTTCAAATTATTTCTACAGGAGTTGTCCACGTCAGAGACGCCGTGGAGGAAAGAGTTCTAAAGAAGATACTGAAGATACTAACGACCAACAGGACAGTAAAGATGACGCGCCGTCTGTAGTTGTACACCCGCCCATCGAAAGTGAAAAAACTGACAAAGATGAAGCAGAACCTGTTCAGAAATTAATAAAAGTTCCCAGCAGTGAATCTTCTGATCTGACTTCTCCAGGAGAAGTAGTCCATCTTACTTTTCCCCCTCCGAAAACACCACCTCCGCTGGAGAGGGTTGATTCGGGGAGGAATGTTGCAGTGTCCGTGAATATCGCGGATTTCCTGAAACCAAAGACCGCTACGAAGAAAAAAAGTAGCACGAGTAGTTCAGAAGAAAGTAGTAGTAGCTCTGAAGAAGGTAGGTTGAATTTAAGCCAAGAAAGGTCTATTATTCAGATTTGAAATGAGTCCTCCGGTAATTTATAACTAAAAGGGCATTTGTAATACAAGTTTGACTTATGAACCATTGATTTTGATGAAGCAACACCCATTTTCTCTATTTGACAACGTTTGGAATTATGGCATCTAAAGAACCCACAGGAATTATATTAACCCCTTTATACCCAAGTTTTTTTGGCAATTTTATATATGAATAAATTTTATATTATTACATATTATAAACAATGGACATGTAAAAATAATAAATTAAAAGCAATTATTTTTCATGAAATTGTTGAAAGCGTTTATCATGAAGTCCAACGTTATATTTTTCACATTTTGTTGTGGTCGTACCTGAACACTGAGCACACTGCAGTTGTGTTTTACTTAAGTAGTAGTGTTTACAATTTCGTGGCCAATTTGATTAAATAAAATTTCATTGTCACGCGCTTACTCATCTTCGTTGAAGTGACTGTTCTTCCAGGTTTGGGAAGCACTCCAAATTGTTTGGGCCATGTATGGCTAATAGAAAGGAAGATGTCCTCTTGACTCGACTGAGAATTGGCCATTGTCGCCTGACCCATGAGTATCTTCTGAAGGGGAGAAGAGAATCCCAGCTGCCCAAACTGCAACGCAGATCTGACAGTCCATCATATCTTGGTGGAATGCCAGAGTTTTAATTATTTTCGCCAAAAACATTTTAATAGTTCAGAACTGGACTTAAAAAATTTAATTGGAAAAGCACATCATCGTAATTTGTTTCTGTTTTTAAAAGATATTGGCTTTTATAATAGACTTTAACCTTTTTTAAAAGATATCAGCTCTTATCATAGACTGTAATCTGTCTCTTACCTAAGCTGGAAGTTTTTACAAATGACTAATTGCATTGTTACCATTTGTCTGGCGCATATAACCTTGACAGGTTTTGTGCCAAATTACAATAATCCAATCCAATCCAAATTGTTTGAGATAGTTCTGTAAAATGCTGCCGCGAAATTCTAGTTGATCCATTGTGACTTGTTTCTTGCAAAACATGCGATGGATGAGCCATTAATTTCGAATTGAATACACCTGTATTCAAAACTTTAGCATCGATAAAAAACACTGCATTAAACATGGTATTAAAAACAATCATCATGGCAATTAAGCATGACAAGTGGAAACTACCACTTCGTTCCAATCCAATGCGAGAATTCGAAATATTATCATCCATTCCATCGATTTCTCCCATAAACAGGTTGTATGTAATAATTACCATCTTCTGTTTCTCGGAAGTCGACCAGCGTTTGGTTCCCCGATAGCTTCCAATTCTGTTTTTTCTGGGTATACCTACAACCGCAAATCCAGAATTTGACAACTCCTCAATGAGCTTTTTAGACGAAAAGTAATTGTATATTGCTATCGTAAATGGATATTTCCTTCATTTAAGGTTAAGTATCTGAAATAATTGATCGAATTTTTCAGTAAATAACAATTAGAACTTTTTTTTTGTATGCACAAAATAATATAAATCATATTTTCGTTTCAATAATATGCGTAATCTGAAAAAATGTTTCAAGAAAAAATTCAAAATTGATTTTTTCACAATTTTAAGAATATATTTTCTGTACAAACGCGTTTAGGTTATTGTTAAGACAGTAAAATCTTTTAGGCTTAATGCACTCAAAAATGCCCAGTGTTCCATAAACAGGACGCCAAAGATTAAACGTAATTATACAAAAATGATATTGTTGTTTTTTCAAAATAACTTTGCAGAAGTTTTTTGTGACCTAGTTTAAGGAAATCATTTTGATGTTTTTTAATTTTATGAAAAAGAAGTTTGCAAAAAATACGCTCTTCATGTAGCTACCCATCATTTGTCGATGCTCGAATGGTTCTTATAAAAATAACTTGTTCTAAAATAATTTTCATGTCCAACTAGTGGTTTCACCTTTTGCTAACAGTAAGAACAATCCTCAGGCGCATGAAAAATTGCTTTGGTTAAAAGATATATGCACTACAATGTTTCCTACACAGTAATTTCTAAACGACCCATATTTTAGCCACTGGACATAAATGGGTTAACACCCTCTTCATGATGCCGAGGTGATAATGTGATAAAAAATTTCTCTAATGAGGAATTCCATATCATTTGCCCAGATTTCTTTGACAATTAGGTTGATGAACAAGTTATTACAAACGCTCATGGATGCACGTCATGCTGGATACGTTTCTTTGGGTTGTCATAGGTGCTCACCACCGTGATTGATGGTTTCAATAGGATGGAGGAACTGCTCACTCAGCTAGAGATACTCACAGCTAATTCTTCGGAGATTGTTTCCAAGGCTCCTGATATCGAGTTACAAGGAGATTAGTTCTGGTCGCCTGAATTTAGCTATACCTAATTAGCTTCTTCGGGGTTAATTGAAAGTATAATAAATATAACTTCGTACCAATGCCATTTTTAAAGACATAATTTAGGAATGGGTGCATTGAATTTTTCAGGCAATAATACAACATACAAAGATGTCTTTGTCATCTCTATTGCAATCGTATATACAGCAGCAGGTAATAACTTACCATGTGTGCTAATTAAAATATGACCGCCCAATAGCGAAATCTAGAGCTTATGAAAATGTATATATTTTAGCCTTCCATTAGCATTCTGTTTCAAAAAACAGTCAGCTGTTTTTGATGCATCATATATTTAAAGATCACTTTTCTTTAAAAAACAGCAAAAATGTAATTAAAAAGTTATTAATACGTACTATAAATTATAATCATTGCAAAATTAGCAAAACGCAATATAAATAAATCTTTATATCTAAAATTATAAGAGATCTCACAGATAAAAATAAGTTTCACGTTTTTAGTATGTTCTTGAAAAAAAATGAAAACAAGTTTTAAAAGTTCTTTGTAATTATTAAATTTTTTTTCTCTCTCTATATCATACCTTTGAATATATGGTATTAATTAATCTTTGTAAATGATATAAACTATGATTTCCCATGATACCAATTTAACATTTTAATTATCGTGTTTCGAGGTAGTTTATACTTTTATTTGATAACTTCCATGCCAAAATAATAAATCTGCATTTTTCGTTATTTATTTATTTTTTCCTTAAATGTGTTTCCTAAATTCTTCTTTTTACATTTCGTATTACATCGAAGAAGAGAAATACATATTCTGTGAGACGAATAATTAATATATAAAAGTAAAAAAATAAGCGTTCTCTAAAGCTTAAACAGTTTTTAACTTTAACTTTTTTTTCTCGAAAGAACATTTTTGTAAATGTATGGTTTCGATGTGTTTCCAATGATACTCTCTTACTAGATGTGAAAGACTCACCTTTCATACGCACATTGCATGAGTATTAGAGCTCATTAGCTGAATAATACGTATCTTTAAGCAATATGTGAAACTGTACAGGCAAAACTTGACTAAATAATAATGTTACACCTACGTAGCATAATGAACTTATTTCATAAAAATATTGAAATTTATGAAAGGTCAGTAATCCCTAAGAGCGCTGTGGATCTATAGATGTGCCGAGGTCCACCAGCGGCCTAGCGGTAAAGTCGCTGAACACTGGTAGTTTGGTCAAGGGCTTGAATCTCAGCGAACGGGCTGGCTGCATAGGCGTTTTCGTGTTTTGCCCAAGTGTAACGTGTATACGATCCAATTTCCCTTAGAAAGTCGTTCACGAAGGCAACCTTTCCCTTAAGCAGATAGCCCTGTCTACAAGGTGCTATAACCAAACAAGCCAAAACCAAACCCTAGGTGTGCAAAGTACTCATGAAAATAGTGGAAAATTATTATACTCGAAAGTAATTGCACGGAATATTTAGTACCAATTAAGAGAACTTCAGCAGTAATTCAATGCCTGTTTTTCCTGAGCTCCCAACGATAGAAATTTATATTATATAGTTTTCTTACGTGAGAATAGTTTCTTTAATATTCCATCAGATTATTTCTCATTTCAACTATTTTATTCCGCTTTTCGATGGAAAAGTGCATGTTGTGACAAAATATATTCACCAACTGTCGGTTAAATTTTCAGACTTAAATTAGTTAAATTTTTAATCAATACTTATACTTACCGGTAAATTTTCAAATTATAGTTACCAGTCAAATTTTCAACTATGGTATATCGCAACTGCTTATAGTGACGCTAACTAGGAACATTTTGAAAATCTTTTAATTCTCCTTGCGGCAATGTCATACACAGTGGAAGCCTATATAGAATACAATGAGATTATTATTTTTTAATTTGCAGTAAAACTTGGGAAAACGTAAAAGCTGTTCCTTGCCCTTTGTACTTGGTTATTGTACGAAGACGACCATGTTTAATGCCTCTGAAATTTCATCATTCTAATCAGTATTAACTCTTAAACATAAAGAAAATATTTTAATAATATTTAAAATGTATTTGCCATAATATGAAGATAAAATAAGGATTTATTCTTCCAACAGAAGAAGAAAGGGATCTAGAAACCCCTGTCGTTCCCGTAATCGATCCTTCTGAAAGTGCAAAACCTGTCAGCGAAGAACAAACAAAAACAAAATCTTCCTCTTCTTCATCATCCAGTGAAGAAGAGGACGAGGAGGAAGACAGTGAGGATGAAAAAGGTAGCGATGATAAGACTGGCGATGCGAAAAATATCCAGCGATCGGCAACCGTCATTCAAGTGAAAGAACCCGAAAAGGAAGCGAAAGAAAGCAGCGAAGAAACGAGTGAAGAATCGAGCGAAGAAGAAAGCGAAGATGAAGAGGCCAAAGTAAGTTTAAATTTATGCTTTACATGGCATTATTATAATTACTAAAAAATAAAATTTATTTACATGTATATGTGTTGCTAATGCGAAGATGAATCACAAATAGATCTGTAGATGAATCACAAATTTTGTTAATATAGATGAAATTATACGTAAAAAAGAAGATGCTATTTTGCTGAAAATACGTAACTTAAAGTTCAAAATTTATTGAAGTTAATCCAAGAATAATATTCTAAAGAACTGCAGTATTCAAATATGTAATTACAAGAGAAATAAGCATGCCATTCTTACTCTAAAAGAAATTTTAGTGCATTCTTAAAGCATAAGGAAGTAACTAAACCAAATCCTGTACTTTTTCCCTTTCATATTTGAATATCTTAAGAAAGCCCTTGATAAGTGAATGATAAATATTATTAGATTATTTCACTGTATATGTTACGACCAAAGTATGAAATCCGTCATGCTAAGGAATACTTAGGCATTTTATAGATTGCCAACAACTGGCCGGCAATATATGAAACGATTAAACATTTCATACATTACCTATGCATTCTATAAAATGCCAAGTTACAAATCGTCAAAGTATGAAATACATGTCCATATTATATATGTTACCGGCAAAGTTTGAAATCAGGCATTCTACAGAATGCCTAGGCATTATATGTAATGCCTAAGATTAGCCAGAAATTAACTAGCATTATATAGAATGCCTAATGAGAAAACGGCAAAGTATGAAATGCATCACTGATTCGTTTCGAATATCACGTGGCAAGGCAAGTGACTTTTAACGAGTGTCTCAGGCATAGAATTTGTCAGCTGCACTTTACGGTTTGATCAAGAGTGTCAAATTAAACAATTTTATTTAAATTTGTTCAACAAAAAAAGATGTACCAAGATGCAGTGTTGATGTGTACCAAGATACAGTGTTGAAGATGGTGTCATGTCTATAGACATGGCACAAAGATTCGACGATTAACTGTCCAAAATTCGAGTTAATGATGCATAACAACAGGTTTTTCTTAACTGAAACTAAGTTAATAAGTAAATAAATGATGTACAAAAAGCCAAAATTACTATTAAGAAGGAGTTTAGAGACTATTGTTTACTGAATCGCTATGATGTGATGATTGTGGGAAAGAAAAATAAACTCCCTATTAAAGAAGGATTCAATACTACAGTACTATACAGCATTACGTCACGGACTCTGAGTTATTTCACATACTTCTTGAAGCTCACTTGGCTATTGGACATAGAGGATGTTATAGAATATTGAACCAAATACAGAAATGTTACACATCGTGATATTGAACTGCACATCTACCTTTGTGAATCTTTTCAGAAAAAAAAAAAAAAAAAGGCTTTGTTGTGAAATCTAGGATGTATCACCCTTCTCCTAGCTCACTCTATGGGATTCATTCAGGATCTATCATTACCAGGCCCATTGAGGATATATCTCAGTTTTACAGAGAAGTACTGCAAAAGCAATAGAACCCTGTATAATTACTCGTGTATTAAAATATAAAAGTACCTATGATGTTTTCCGAATTCAGTTCTCGTTGTCAGGTAGAGCTTATTGATTTTAAGTATCAAGCAGATAGAGAATAGACATTTACTATAGTGTACCAAGATCATCTCACAAAATTTGTCATTCTTAAATCTCTAACGTCAAAAAGAGCTGAAAAAATAGCCTACAACCTAGCGGACATATTCTTGTTGCCTGGAGCGTCTGATCATTGTAGGGAATTTACCAATAATGTGGTGACCAGCTTGAAGGAGTTTTGGCCAGCACTGAAGATCGTCCGTGGAAAGCCTCGCCATTCAGAAAGCCAGGGTAGTGTCGAAAGAGCTAATCAAAATATCGAAAATATGCTCTTTTCTTGGTTGAAGGACAACAAATCTGACCGCTGGAGTGAAGGACAGCGTTTCATTCAGTTTATGAAAAAATAGAGCTTATCCTTCTGGTATCAAAAGATCACAGTACGAAGCTCTTTTTGGCTGAAAACCCAAAGAAGGGCTTACAACGTCTTTTCTACCAGAAGATGTTATAAAAGACATAAAGACAGAGCAGCTCGAAAAAGTAATAGAAAGCCTCCAAACAGTGGGAAAAGGTGAAACGAAATCAGATTATGCAAGAAACGAGCCTGTTTTAAAAAAAAAAACATGGATGAGATTATAGTCGAAAGCGGATTAATTCAACATAATGAAGACGTGTTTACCGAAGAGGTTTCCTTTTCTGATAACAGTTGTGTGTATTTAAAGAAAACGAGTGATGCGCTTGCATGCAAAAAGTGTCGTCAAAAAAGTCATACCTTATCCCGCAATTCTTTTTGTGGCCATTCTTGTAAAGATAATGCAATGGCTATTTTGTGCACCCTTTATTTCAAAACTGAAAATGCTATTGAAATTAAAATAAATTCTAAAATCAATCTGGAAATACAAGCCAAAAAATGTAAATGAATTCGGAACAAAAATTCTCACTGCTTCTTTAGGAACTACTGTTCGAGTTTCTATTCTTGACGTCGACAAGGGGAGAGGTGATTGGCAGTTGTAATGAGTGTCACAGAGGACGGTTTCTACCGACTTAAAACTTCTGAAGGAATTGTAAAGCAAGTATATGCGAGATCACAATTAACTTTATGTCCTAATAATTTGTTCAGAACTGAAGATACTCCTGACCACGAAATTCCTCTCCGCTCAGTTGCAATTGCTCAGTCCAGTGGAAACGGTGACGAATTATTCGTCAAATATATGTATAAGACAAAGTGCCAAAATATGAAATGTCTTTGGGTGAAAAATGTAATGAAGTGTAATTCAAAATGTCATTCAAGCCTTCCATGTTGCAAAAAGTAAGTTAATTTTAATTTCTCAATTTTTTTACATGAAAAGCTTGTTTGCCTTAATAAGAAAGCATAAATTTCGTTTCGTACAACTTTCAATTTTCTGTGCGTATTTTGAATACATTTTTTAATGGCACTCTCATTATTTTTTCATAATAACATTTGTATTTTTGAGGACTCCACATCATTTATATAATACCCTTATCAGGATCTCCATGTCATTTATATAATACCCTTATCAGGATCTCCTAGAATTGCATACTTTGCCCTAAATGACATTTATCATTTTTCATATATTTTTCATACTTTGCCTAAATAACATTTATCATCCTAAATTGCATACTTTGCCTAAAAATTGCATACTTTGCCTAAAAATTGCATACTTTGCCTAAATAACATTTATCATTTATCATATATTTTCATACTTTGCCTAATAACATTTATCATTCTATAGAATGCCTAGGTATTACATGAAAAGCCTGGGGAAAGTATGCAATAATTCTCCCATTTCATACTTTCCTTAAAAACGTCCGGCATTATATGCAATGCCTAGGCATTTTATAGAATACCAGCGTTTCATACTTTGCCAGTAACATATACAGTTCCTCAGAAAAATATATATAGTAATTAGTGCAATATATTGACATATGTAATGAGTGTGACGGAGGATCGTTTCTCCTGACTTCCTGACCCAGAAATTCTTCTCTGGTACCTTGCAGTTGCTCAGTCCAATGGAAGTGGCCAAGGATTCGTCACGTGTATGTGTAAAACAAAATTTGTATGAAAGGTGTTTGTGAAAAAGTAATGAATTCAAAATGTCATTCAAGCCTACCATGTTGAAACAAATAAGTTAATTTTAATTTCTCATTTTTTATATGAAAATTTTATTTAATAAGAAAGGCATAAATATTGCTTTGTACAACTTTAATTTTTCTTTACCTATTTTGAACTGAAAAATGTTAATGGCACTCTTTCATTATTTTCTCAAAACAACATTTGTGTTTTTGAGGAATAACATTTCTTAAGTGATAGCCTTATCATGATCTTCTTTTTCATAATTTGCCTGAAGAACATTTGTCATTCTATAGAATGCTTAGGTATTGTATACAGTATCTAGGTGTAAAAGCATATAATAATTCTAATGTTTCATACTTTGCTAGAATACTAGAAACGCCAGGCATTCTAAAAAATGCCTAGGTATTCTATAGCATGCCGACTTTTCCCACTTTGCCGGTACCAGATACAATTAAATTATCATTAGATGCAAAAAATGAACCTTAAGCAAAATGTATTTTTCAGAAGTATTTCTTTGAAGAAAATATTGGATATAAAAGCAAATGCTGCAAAGCTTTCTTTCCCCAGTTTCCACGCCCATGGAGGAGGGACCTAGTGAAAGTAGCACCAATGATAATGGTCATAATGTTATGGACATGGACGCTAGTACGTCTAGACAAAATACAAGCTCAGATGAAAACACAGAAGCTGATTTTGTGAAAAAGACACGGATACCGCCAATAACTGTTAAAGTAGATTACCCAACATGGAAAAACATATGTAGGGCACTTAAACATAGAAACATTGAGTAATCAGAATAATAATAAAGGGAATAAAATTTTCATCCGTAACCCAGAACATTACAGACAGACACTTCTTAAAGACAGTTACTTATCTGAAAGAAAAAAAAATGGAACAACATTCTTTCACAGTTCCTAAGGACAAAGATATAAAAGTAGTGATAAGGCGTCTCACTGCACACAGACACTGCAGATACACAGAAATTCAAGAGGAATTGGAGAATTTAGGATACAAAGTTGAATCAGTAAACAACTTACGTGCAGAAGAAAAGGGGAAGTTATTAAACTTCCACTATTCTTAATTACTCTGCCTAAGAAACCTAAATCTAAAGATATTCATAATGAAACTCACTTATGCGATTTAGGAATTAAAGTTGAAAATTATAAAGGTAGATCTGGCACATTACAATGCTATAGGTGCCAAGGATTTCACCACATGCAAACAGGCTCTAATTATGTATCAAAGTGCGTCAGGTGCGGAGAAGGATATTTGTCCTTTGAATGTCCAAATAAAAGCTCTGATTTGCCACCACGTTGTGCGAACTGTAATCAATCTCCCACCTCGAACTTTAGGGGGTTATGAGATGTTCCCTAAAAAGAAACAAGATAAGCCAAAAGTATATCCTAGTAGGATTATCGAAAACAAATCATTTGCACAAGCACTGTCTACTTGATTGCACGCGAACACGATTAAAGAAGCAAAAACTGTTTTTGCAAGCCTGGCCGAACTTGTGTCGGTCATAAAGAGCTCCGGTTTTCTTTTAACACAACAACTAGGACAAATTGTACCTACACAAAATGACAAAACTGCCATAAATCAGGATCTTAATGGATAAGTACACTTCAAAAGGCGATACTATAAAATTAGCATTTTGGAATGCTTTTGGCATTCAGAAAAAGTTAACGGAATTTTTAAACTACCTAAACAATCATAATATTGACATAGCCCCTTGTCACAGAGACTTATGCCACGCCATGCGTGCGTATTAATTTACCAAATTACCGCACATATAGGTGAGATTGTTTGAGTCACGGGGTGGGCAGCAATTTATGTGCGCAACTCGCTCCAGTCCTGTTTGATCAGCCAAGATAGAAACGACGGACATGAGATGGTCACAGTCTCAGGGTACTTACTGCAATATGGAAATTTGAATTTCATTCCATTTTATAATCCGCCCAAAATGCATCTGACGGAAAATATTCTTTTCAGAGTTCTATTTGACAGTAAGTATATCCTTACGGGTGATCTTAACGCAAAGCACACAGAATGGGAATGCCGCAAGACGAACAAAAATGGTAAGGTGCTCTATGAGTTCATTAATAATCACCCAGTTGCTCTGCATGTTACTGAGGAGTATACATACAGACCCCAGAACCCAAGAAACGCAGACGTTCTTGATATTCTTCTGATAAATACTTCGATCCCTATTTACACCGAACTAAAACATGAACTGAACTTTGACCACATCTCGGTCATTGCAATTTTAGGAGCTACTAAAGAGGCCGAAAATGAAATGATTCGTACGACGGACTGGAACAAATTCCAGGAGTTTCTCAATCAGAATCTGCCCGTCTTTGATGCTCTGAGTTCGCGAAAGGATGTAGATGATGTAGTTGATACCCTCACTGAGTCGATCAACAATGCTATTGAAAATGCGTCTAGGCATGTGAGGAGAAATAATAACACTGGCATTCTGCCTAAGGAAATTACAGAGATGACAAAAGCTAGAAATAGAATGAGAAAAACATGGCACCTTACATGGAGCCCGCATGTAAAAAAGAGATTTGAACAAACTAAGTAAATTAATTAAAAAGAAAATTGATGCACATAAGAAAGAAGTATAGGAGGACAAGATTCAAAATCTAGGTCCTAATGATGGCACACTTTAATGCAAAACTTGAAAAGACACCATACGTGCAATAAGCCGATTTACACTGAGAATTCTGTTGCCCTCTATAATAAAGATATATCTACGGTTCTTGCAGACCATCTAGAAGATCAGTTCAGACCTAACGTGACGCCCAGGAACATTAATTTCGTCTATGAGGCTTGCTACTTTGTTAGAGATAGGCTAAAGGCCCACACAGCAAGGAGATACATGGCCACTGCTACTACCAGGGAGATTAAAGAGATTACAAATAAACTTAAAGTCAAAAAGGCGCCAGGCATTGATGGAATTAACAATAACGCTCTTAGATATCTGCCCTGCAACGTAGTGACAAAATTCACGAGTATTATCAATGCGTGCCTCAGTCAAAGTTATTTTCCTACGAAATGGAAAATCGCAAAGATCATTTTACTACCTAAGCTCGAGAAGGATAAAACTAGGCCAGATGGGTACAGGCCCATTAGCTTGCTTTCGGGCCTAGGAAAGATTTTTGAACGAGTGATCTATAGCAGATTAAAGAACTATATTGAATTACCGCCACCAGAACAAGTTGGATTTCGGAGAAAACTATCTACTACGAAGCAGCTGATTTGGCTCATCGAGTTTTGTGGGGAAGCGCTCCACAAGAAGCAAAATGTCGCCTTACTCATGCTAGACGTGGCGAAGGCATTCGACCGCGTGTGGCATGAGAGGTTCATTTATAAGCTTATAAATCTCCCAATGGATAGAAAGCTAATTCAGTTGATCATGTCATTCATCACAAATAGAAAGTTTACTGAAACTATCGAAAAAGACTTCTCCAGCTTGCGCACCATAAATGCAGGCGTCCCTCAGGGGTCCATTTTAGGGCCCGTCCTGTATTTATTCTACGTTTACAACTTTCCCAGGGCCCACATTGATACAAATCATTTTCTTGGGTGCTACGCGGACGATACGGCATTAGCTGTAAAGTTCGCAAACGCACACCATGCAATCAAAAAATTACAAGAGCTCCTACCGGAAGTAGAAAAATGGTGTACGAAGTGACGAATTGTAATAAATGCAAGCAAGTCGCAATTATTAATCATAAGGAGGAAAAATACCCGATCAAGAATTAATAGCAAGCTTTTCTTATTTTCTGAAGAGATTCCCGGAGTCAGTAAGGCGAAGTACTTGGGAGTGATGTTGAATGAAACATTCAAGTGGGGAGACTATATCACAGAAATTAGAAGAAAAATTTTCACAGTTGTTAATAGTCTCAACCCTATTTTACGTAATTATTTCAGCTTAAACCTCAGGAAAAAGCGGCTAGTATATATCACGGTAATCAGGCCTTTAATGACTTATGCGTCGCCAGCCTGGAGCACGGCTACCAAGGAGGATATTAAGAGGCTTCAAACTACGCAGAATAAAGTCAAGACTTATCACTCATTATCACTACTTTGTTGGCAGTGCTACCCTACATTGTGACTTTGTAGAGTCATTAGGTTAATTGTAAGCAGAAAAGATGAAAAATATGCAACCGCCTTCTCCGGGAATCGAACCACGGACCTCTGGAATACCGGGCAGGCGTGCTACCGTTACACCACGAAGGCACGCTAGGGAAGTGGGAGAAATACCTTATATACTCCCCTTTTTAAAGGGCGACTAGGGTTTTAAGGGACCTAGTCGGTTCAAATCCTGGGTGCGGAGAATCATCATCCACAACCCTTTTAGTTCGGGCGCCACTTGTAGAGTTATTAAGTTAATTGGAAGCAGAAAAGATGAAAAATATGCAACCGCCTTCGCCCAGGAATCGAAACACGGACCTCTGTAATACCGGCCCAGTGTGCTACCGTTATACCACGAAGGCACGCTAGGGAAGTGGGAGAAATACCTTATAACTTGAAACTGGACTTTCAAGAAGAGCATCTCAAATTAATAAGAAATTCTTCATGAAAGCGCTAAACTGTGACCATATGAGTAATTTTGACATCTTGTAAAATCTTGGATGAGGACTCCAATTTGCGTCCACTTGCAGCCCACATTATCAGGGACTCGAACTTTCCCACCTAGTGCCCACATTGTAAGTAGTGTACATAGTGTGTATATATTTTCTTATTTTAAATTTTAGCATTTGTACTACTTTATATCGTATTTTGTATGTAATTCATTTATTCACTGTTTTCCTTGCACTTATTCCTTACATATTATGACTCCCACTTTGTCATGCCTTAACTGGGCCTGTTTACTTATTAGTGAGCTCTTGCGCTGCTGGTCATCCTGACCTTTATCCGTCTTTGCTCCTCCTTACCGGCGGACATTATATGAAGATAGTTTTATGTTATGGCGCCCATCTGGCATACATTTGATTGAGCCAGATAAACTACCGTTTTCAGTGGTATTCTGGCGATATGTTATTAGTCAGTCAGTCTTTCTTTTATTAGGCTGTGTCATTTAAATTTAAATTTGTAATTTCATAGCTTAAGCGGTGCCCCACCCAAGTCATCAATACTGCTAAAGAAGCAGAAAAGAAGAAAAAATCAGAATCCGAAGAAGAAAGCGAAGAAGATTTAACCAGTGAAGAGGAAGTACAAGAAACAAAAGAAACAGAAAAGAAAGACAGCGGAAAGAAAGAAATGGTAATCAAAATCCTTTTCACATATCTCCGTCTAATTTTTATTTTAATTATAGTAAAGTTTTATATCTTTGGTTCGTGTTGTAATATTTGCATTTGATCAATCACTGTTTGTCACTTGTCAATCCGTAGTAAAAGATGGTAAGGTTAAGAACTGTTCCTAGTAATAAGCAAAAACATTAATTTCAACTTAACGATACTCTCGTATTTATTTCAGTACAGATTTCAACCAATATTTTTTCTTGGCATTTGTAAAAATTAATAATAAATAGCTCAGATTTTCCCATTTAAGCAGGAAAATTGCATTCGTATTTATTGTATTTTGATTGGAAAGGGAAACAAACAATTCAGTTATTAAAAGACGTGTATCATTTAATGAGCTGTTTGATTTTTGAGAAGTACTGAAACTGGGACTCTTATTGAGCACAGGTATCATACGCTTTATGAAAGTTCGTCGTAAGAAATTTCGCTTTTATGGAAAACCTTTTTGCGGTGAACGAAAGTAATACAATGATGATTTTCGTTTATATGGAGAAAGTAGAAAATGAAAATATGGTTCAGCGTTTCTTAAAAAATATCTCCATCGAAAAATGACTAATTACATAGCATACATATCTAAGTAAGCTTTTGCGAGACGTTTTGATTGTCTGAAGAGAACATACAGAAGGGTATGGGTCAGTTTTACCCGCTAGACTTATTATTTTACTTCAAGACTTTCGCGACAGAAAGAGCACAAAATATTTCGACATTTGGCGAGGCAAACATTAAAACTGTAGATAATAATACTAGGCATGCAAATAGTGATAAAATATTAATAGCTTATCTTTTGCTTTTTAGTTTCTGCACAGTAAATCTAGCTTCTATTCAATCCACCATAATCATTGCCACCATTTTCAAGTCTTATTTAATATTCATCATACAAGTTCATTAACTGCACGCTAATCGAATAAATAATGACAGTTGCTATAATAATCATTGCTGGTTGTCAGGAAGAAAATGAATTAGAAACAAATATAAGCAAATGCATATTCACTTGAAAATACGTCTTTTCTAAAAGGAATTAAATTTATTGGATGACATTTTAAACAGTTATTTTTTTTGTAGAGATATTGGTTGATAAATAATCTATGTATAGATTATTTCCATAATTTTTGGCTAATCATCTCTTTTGGCTGGTAAATCATAAATTTACGCACGTCCCGATTATTGTTTAGGTCGACAAGGTCTGCAGCTAAGACTTAAGGTCTTTGGAGCTCCCAATTTGTCCTCACATGATCATCATGTTTCCTTCCACGTGGTCCCTTCCACGTAATCATCGTATTCTTTCCTCACAAAAGTTTCACGTAATTATCATGTTCTTTCCTCACAAAAGTATAGAAAGTAGACGTTAAAGAACGAGTTCTTTGCCCATGTCCCCAGACTAGCTTAGACGGAAGAAAAATAAATCAAATAAGGAAGGCAGAGAAACAAATATTAAACTTTTAATAACTTAATATCTTTTGGCAAAATAAATGAATCAAAGATTTTCATACGAGCCTCACAAAGAAAACACGGTCAACGAGAAAATTTTCATAGCCAAATTAGTCAGAAAACATTCATTTTCATACGATCAAAATTATCTGAGATGGTATTAGTTAAAACTTTAGAAAGAATATATGCAAACAATGCTTAAGATTAATTTAGAAGTCAAACAACAAAAGTTCAATCCATCTTTCAGCCTTTAAAGAAATTATGTTTTAGTTCTGGTTTCATCAACAGATGGCGCCAGTAGCTTATCTCCTGTCCAGACTTTCTTATTTTATCTTATCTAATCATTATATCTTATCTTGCTCATTTGCACTTTTGCAGCTGAGGATGATGGTTCGGTAAAATCATCGAAACTAGTCCTGTGAAAATTTGAAAATATAACGCTGATTTTTGTTGTTTGACTTCTAAATTAATACTTGTTCGGCGTGTTATTGTATCTTAATGCTTAAGATTGCTATAAATGCAAAATTTTCCAGATGCATATTTTTTAATATGTAGAGTTATTAGGTTATTTTAAAGCAGCAGACCTGAAAAATGAGCTATGCCCTTGGCGTCCTAACACGTAGAATATGCCTTCAATTACACCACGAAAGGAAAAATACCTTATAATGATACGTTTTATATTAGAAAACATTAGTTTGGAAGAATTTGTTTCAAATTCCAAGTGAAGAAATGATAAAATTTGTAATTTTATATGTATTGAAATTCATACGCTATAAGATTCCTAAATCGCTCTTACCTTTTAAAATGAATTAAGTTTTATATTTTGACAGTATTTTTCAGTTCCAGTTTTACAGATTACCGACCGAGTTATTTTTCTAAAGAATTTTTAATAAAAAAAGAATACTTTACTTCGTACTAATCGTACTTAGTTTCCCTCGTACTAATCCTGCCAAAATTTTCTATATTTTAAATGAAAAGTATCAAGTAATCAAAATAACTGCAATCATAAAGCACATTTTTGTGGTGCAAAGATGTAACTGGGTTTGAAACACTCTATATAAACAGGTGGATCTAAACGCAAACGAGATAAAAAAACTTAATTACGATCTTTTTGCGAAGAAGACTGTGATTATGCGAAGAAGATCATGTATATATATCACATAATCTGCTTGTCCGAAAGCTGTTATTTCTTAAATGATTAATTAATTAGCATCTGCTGAGTTCTTTTGAATTCTGTTTTATATAAAAACTCTTTCTTAGGTTCCTGCAGTAAACGGAGAATCTTACTGGCCTAAAATCGAGAAAAAGGATAGCTTACAAACCTCAGATAATTTGACTCTCTTCATAGGAAAATGCAAAGATATCGACGAAATGTTAGGCGCTCCCAGCCCGATTAGTCCGAGTTCTGCACCTGTTCTGAATTCGTCGTCTCCTACAAAGCAGCAACCATTCAAATTTCAAGCCACGATAACTCCTTCTGAGAAAGTAAGTGTTTGAACTGTAAAAAAATAACAATATACTTTGTAAACCATGTTGCTGTGTAAGTGTGTGGATGTGTAAAACATGTGGATACATAATGCGTAAACGAGTATTAGTGCTTAATCCTAGGTTTCAACTATATGGAGATATTAGGTAAAATGATAATTGCTAACATGCATGGTTATAAGAACATATGATAATGGTTAACATGCATGGTTATCAGAACAGAAAACTTTTAAATGATAATGTTAAACATGTGTGGTTAAAAAACATAAAATTTTATAGAAAGCATTGAATTTAGCAGTCAATAAAATAAAGGGAAATGTTAAATTACTTAAGCCCTTCTTATTCGCGTTTATTCATTTAAAAAATTGTCCATTCAAATACAAATCTAACAAATTTAAATTTAAGCATGAACAAAATTAAATGCCTGTATAATAAAGGTAGAAATAATAATGGAATTCAATATAACTGAATGCGTTTCCTCTTTAAAAATCAGTGTCTTCAAAAAATGTTTTTAAATTTCTTCCAAAGTTATTGTTTCTTTTTATATTTTTTTCTTTCTTTCTTTCTTTTTTTTTTTTTTTTTTTTTTTTTGTAAATTATTGCATATCATATTCTTATACTATAATATAGGATAATTTTGATAAATTTTTGAATCTAGAAGGGATACCAAAATTTACCAAAACTGTAATATAATAAAGTATCAAAACTTGAATAATGAAAACTGCTAAACAGTTGTACTATAACTGATTTTCATATACCTTTAGTTGTTGAAAAAGTAGAAAATGAGAAAATGAATGAAAATGTGTATTAAATGTTTATCGAACTAATGTAACAACAAGAGTGTAAAAATAGTATGTTTTTGCATACGAAATGAAGCATGGATGAATGCAATAACTCATAAAACAGAAACAGAGACTCTATTTAAAATTCTAACAGAACTATTTGGATGTAACCAAACTATTTTATCGTGCTTCATATAGCGGCGACAAGAGCAACTTACGGCCAATCGACCTTCATCTACGATGAGGATAGGTTCTTCAATGTTATACCTCCGTGACTCGAACGGTAATTCTAAATATTAGGTGTCCAGTTTGGTGTATGTTCTCTTTTGTTTATATTCTGTTTCTGCCCTCAGTTAATAAATACTTTTAGAGCTATCAGACGTTTGTGTTTAATAGAAGAACGGTTACAAAGATCAAAGTTTTTATATACCAACCAAAAAATTTAAAATGGTCCAAAACGGAAAGGTTAAAGTTATAAGGTTTTAATTATTTTTACTAATAGTTATTTTATTTTGTGATTCTTTCTTGAATTCTCTTATTTCCCTCACGTTTCCTCGCCAGGATGTAATTGAGTTAGGGTGAATCGGAGCATTTACACAGTTGGAGCGAGAAGGTTAGACGGAGCGTGATTTCGCTATTGGGAGCGCACGTTGTTAGTCTCTATTATCCTTAATACTGGCTACGTATTCTTGCCGCCAAGTTAATATCCTGCCGATGTAGGTTTCTGAGTCAACCTGTTAGCTTAAATTGAATTGTGTAGTCTCGCACTACTCTTTACCTATAAATTTAGTACTACATTATCCTTTAAGTTTCCACCGCAAGCAGTCGGTGTTTTGTAAAGCACGTAAGTCCGTGTTATCTGTTAAATATTTTTTGTTCAATAAAATGTTCTTTTACACCCTTTCCTGGTTGTATTTATCTTCAAACCTATGCGAGAATTCGGAAGGATCACGCTTAAGTAAATCTAGTCAAATCTTATGATAACTAAGAAAAATAGATCTTCCAAAGTTTTACAATCCATAATATTCGTAAAACGTTTCACTTCTTTCAACTAAAAATCTAATCTTTTTACACGATGTATGTTTCAAACTTAATTTTGTAGAAATTATTTATGTTTTTGTGAAGTGGAGAACAACCACATATCAACGATGTCTCGTAGGCATTCAAAATCAAGACTTTCCATTTGATAGTCCGACTTGCTGTCAGTAAACCACGAAGCAACACAGTAAGGAAAAAGAAGTTTTTTTTACAAATTTATAAGAACTATTATTTCAAGAGTTAAATTTATTTGGAATTTACACATTGCATAATGCAGTTCATGGTATGTACTTTTTCATGATCTTACCATAATAACTGAATCCCATCTCGTGAAATATAATATCTTGGACTTGCAGCCGCTATTATTTTAACATCCACGTCACTCTGAACTCGTGGTTATCAAAACATTCCTTAAAAATGTACGGCATTGAAAAATAAAAGAAATCAGGCATTATGTAAGTATGTAATGTAGAATTATGCCTCGAATGATTACTGCTTTTCATAATACAGAATCTTTCATAATACGAGCTCTTTTAGAGTAAAGATCGAAGAGATTTTCATTCGTACAACTCTTCAAAAGTAAGCGTTCACACCCAAGACGTTCTGAAACTTATTTTCGCTGATGTGAGATACCAGGGCGATGAGTGCAAAAATTGAACAGCAATATCTGAGCAATCCTTAAACCAAAAAATTCATCATTAGGTTGGTGAAGGGATAGCTGTCGTATTTGGATTCGGAAAAGCTTATTCATCCATTTTTTTTAAATCGGAAGTAATAGTTATTGCAGCTGTACAAAATAGGATATATTCGAAAAATATATCGTCCCTTGTTGGTTGAAAGAGTATGTAACGGCAGCAGTTAGATGATTTGTTTTGGAATACTATTAGAAAAAGAACCCTTTCTCACATATTTCTTTCTGAAATTTGTTAAGATGTTTGGGCAAGGAACATATTGATGGTCACATATTTTGGAGTTACGAAGATGGAAAAACAATGGTAACACGGCCACTTTTCAGTTCTTGTCTTGCAAAACCTTAGTGAACTGAAAAACATTGAAAACCTTCTTTCGCACCTAGACGAAAGCTTTATGCTGATTATATATAGAAAATAAGATGTAACTGATAAAATACTGTGGGAAGTATATGATGCTGGAATTAAATTTTATTCTTGAAGTACTAGGTACTACAAATTTACCTTTGAAGCGTAAAAATTTGTAATATTCCAAACCTAGAAGTTACTGCAATGTGTTTGGAACGTTGAGAACTGGTAAGCGAATAATCGTTTAGTTCAGAATGATGGAAACGTAAACGTACGAAGGGCTGAATACCCTTTATTATTCCAAAATGAGTTTTTAACAGATGACTCCTTCTTGGAGTTTAGAATAAAGCCTGCACTTGTGCTTGAACTCAGGAATACTAAGTAACACTTAACTAAAAAGATATAACCGAAGCTATCAAGATTCTAACAGAGATGGCCCCTTAACGCTAACTAACGGCGAAGCTATTAAGGGCTTAAAGTACGGCCGAGCATAATAATAGCTTAAGGGGACTCGTACACCTTAAAACCCATAAGATCTTCGAATATGTGACTATTGCAAGAATTGGGATAACTTACTTATTTTAAAAGCAATTACTTCCAACCTTTTACAGTTGACTGCATAATATAGCTGCTTCTGAAATAGTAATCAGAAAGTTTGTGTTGCCACAAACTTTAATCCGCTTTGTGACAAAATGTTTCGTCATGCTTCAGCTTGCGCGCACAGTTTAGAACATTCTGTTGCATAATTTAATTCAATATTTAATATATAGTTTTTATAACATTTGGAAACTACTGTGAACCAAAAATTCTAAGAATTTCATGTTAAATTTTTATTTTATTTGGAGTTGAGTTTATTAAAAAAATCTGTAATGTTTTCGTGCATAAAATTTCTTAATATTAAAATATTAATCATATTTTTGGTTCAGTTAGAAAATAGTGTCCATATAAAGAATTCCATCCAATTTCAAGTATGTACCATTAGCCATTTTTAAAATATCATGCGCAGAAGGTGGAAACATGACGAAAAATTTTGTCACAAAGCGGATCAAATTACAAAAATATTTGTGGCAACACAAACTTTCTGGTTACTATTTCCCAAAGCAGCTACGTTATGTAGTCAGCTGTAAAATGTTGGAAGTAATTGCTTTTATAATAAATAAAATACCCCAGTTCTTGCAACAGTCACATATTCGAAGATCATAAGGGGTTTAAGGTGCATGAGTCCCACTAAGAGAGAGAGAGAGAGTAGCCAAAAAAGCGAACGCGGGCTGCTGAGAATATCTGGCTCTCTAACGAAGTCAGTAGAACTTAAATACTTCTTCTCCGTATTTGCATTTGACCGCGATTCTGAAAATACATTTTGGCCGGACGTTGTAAGCTGAAATTCAGAAAGAACAGGAAAGTAATTAAGACACAATAACACGCCGAATAAATACTGATTCAGAAGTCAAACAACAAAAATCAGCGTTAATTCACAAAATTTTCACAGGACTAGTGAAATGATGGCGCCACTTGCTTATTCTTGTCCAGGCTTTCTTATCTTATCTAAACATTATTTCCTATCTTGTTCATTTGCGGTTTTGCAGCTGAAGATGATGGTTCGGTAAAACCATCGAAACTAGTCCTGTAAAAATTTTGTGAATTAACGCTGATTTTTGTTGTTTGACTTCTGAATCAGTAACAGGAAAGTAATTTTAAATAAAAATTAACTGTTAAAGAAATTAAGATAAACCATACAAATTGCGAAGATGTCAGATAAAGTGCGATAAAAATATTTTATAATAAATCACAAAATCATTTGTACGAAAAAATGAACAAAAATTAAAAAAAAAAATGAATGCAGACCTTTTTTAGAAAGGAAACTACGCGAGCATATAGCAGTAAAAATTCAAACACGTGGTTAGAGGGGAAAAAAAGAAAAAAAAAAGTTTTGGTAGCAGTGATATACCATACCAAAAACTCGAGTCAACAACTCTCACCTGGAAATCCGACAATGCCTTTCTTTGTTGGTAGTTCTATGTTTAGTCTTGATGTGACGTTGCATAAGCTAAGTGATTTTGCTCCAAAAAACGCCCCCTTTCTGCTCAAAAATCGCAACATACCAATATCGCTTTAAAAAACAATTGAAACGAAAACTAATATTATACCTGCTTCAGTTACGTTTAAAGAAAAATAAAATGCCTTCATTCTTATTTTCATTTACATTAATAGTAGTAACGTTTAGTTTTTGGCTCTTCGTTTCTAATTTTTCATGTGAATCATCCACTTTCCGGCTGATGGGGGAGAGGTTTGTCGAGGTTGTTTATTTTGGCTTAACTATGTAAATGTTCCCTATCACAGATGAGTTTAGAAGCAGAGGTACCAAGTGAGAACTTTCACAGCCTTGAATGATTTCTGTACTATGCTTAACTCGGAGCTTCCATTTGAGCAGACACAATATTTATCTGTCTTCAGTTATGTAGGGAATTATTTGATAAAAGTATTCTTAGTAGGGTAAGTGAAATTTAATTCTTTATTCTTGGAAATTAAGAAAATAAAATCTTTTCCTTATAATTTCTTCTGAAAAATGAGTTTGTACTTAAGACTAGCTTAAAATTCCTTGCTATGTTTCGTAGTTTCTTTTAACTGCATAAAAAACAGAAATTATTATTCTAAACTGGAAATGGAATTTCATATTAAAGTTCAACTATATGATAATATTCTTTTTTTTTTTTTTTTTTTTTTTAGTCGAAAATTATCATAATTGCTTTTAGTTTAGGATGGAAAATCCTTTGCACCGGGAGCATTTTCTTCGCATTTCTTATCATTCTGTATACTTATAACTTGATACTGTAATTTGAAAAGATTAATTGCCGTACAAATAACTAAATAACTATTCATTTGATACGTCGTTACTGGAAATTTTAAATACGCTGTGAATAATTAAATAGACTTCCATAATATCTTATATTTGTCACGAACAGTGTAATTCCTTCAATGGAAGAAATATTAAATCTTACAAATTCAATAGAGAGATATATTTAAATTACAAATGAAGAGCTAGTGCAATTAGAAAACTATCAGATTTACTGATTTTACAAGACGTAGGTTTTGTATCCAGAATCATTGTATTATATTTTTAAAATCAAATTCAGACTTTAATTATAAAATCAAATAATTGTAAATATTATCACATATGGAAATTACTTTTTTCGTTTTTATTCGAAGGCTGAAATCAAATAAAAAAAGGACTTTTATGAATTATTTTCAGACCTTTTGGATTTGGGATAAAGTTTGGGAAAGTACTTTTTTCATTTTTAAATATGTTATTGATCAATCAATATGTACGTCATATTTTTTTTTTATTTAGCAGTGTTATCTGATCTTTGTATGTTAATGTATCTAAACCTTCACTTCAGATCAGCTAACTGCACCCTTTTTCTAGTGTACGATACACAGCAAAATGGTTCTTGATATTCTTTTTTTAAAAAAATTCATTTCTTATATTCTGTTATTAAAAATGAAGGAAAAATAAATTATTATTGATATCTATCTTTTTGTTGATGATATCTTTTATTTTTAATTGATATCTATCTTTTTATTATTGCTATTTATATTTTTTTATTCTTAATTGATTTTATTATCTTTTTTTTTTTTTTTAAATTTCACGCACCATGGCTTTTAGGTAATGCCAGAAGTTACTCCATAATAGTAATATAAATTACAGATTAATTGTATAATGAATCCGCTTTCAAAGGATAAATTCAATCACTATTTTTCAAATAACTGGAAATATTAAATTTGGAATTTAAACAGTTATTAGACGATGATTGTAAATCACCTATTAACCTTTCTCATTAAAAATCCATATATATTCATTCTGTGAAAGAACTTCCAAGTCGTTTCTACAATAAAAACTTGATATTTTCTTTAGATAATTATTCAGTAAATAAAAAAATTGTTATCTATTATAATATAGATTAATTAATAATAATCTATTATAGATTAATAAGAGTTATATAGCAACTTCTTCTCTTTTTTACTTTGATATCAGAAGCCAAGTTCTGAATCCTCTGAAGAAGAAAGCAGCAGCAGTAGTGATCTCGAAGAAGTAGACCCTTCTGCTGTCAAGTTTCATGAATCTAAACCTCAAAAACCAGAGCTGGGTGCCTACACTGAAGAGATAGATTCAAGTGCGGTGCGGATCAGAGAAAGCAAGCGACTTAATTCCGAACTCGCCCCAGAGGAAATTGATTCATCCTCTGTCAAAATCCGTGAGCCCACTGTCATGCATGGACATATATCCAAAGCTCCAACACGAAAGGCAAGTAGATTATATGTACCTATGTCAAAAGAAATAATTTTCTATATTTGGTGTAGAGTCATTAGGTTAATTTAAAGAAGGAGACGTGAAAATTGTGCAAAGCCCTGGCCGGGATTCGACCCTGCACCTCTCGATACGTCGAGTGTGCTTCCAGTTACACCACGAAGGCACGCGGAAAGGAGGGAGAAAATGCATTATATACTCCCCCTTTTAAAGGGCGACTGGGGATGAGGGGTTACAGTCGCCAAATCCTGGTGGTGAAGAATTACCGTCTACCACCCTTTAGTTCGAGCGCCACTGTGGAGTCATAACTATCTAAAAATAAGTTTATGAATTTGTAGAGTCATTAGGTTATGTTGATGCAAAAACGTGAGAAATGTGCAAGGCCCTCGCACGGATTCGAACTTCGGACCTCTCGAATTAATGTCGAGAGGGATTACAGTTATACCACAAAGGCGTGTGGAAAGGTGGGAGAAAATACCTTATAAATGTATACTTTATTCAAACTAAGCATACACAGAAAAATTGTTTAATAAATTTAAATAATTACTTAAAATTTTTCATTGTTGTTGAAAAGCCTGATGAAGGCAAAATGAATCTACAAAACTATTTGTACATTCAAAATGGAGTTCGATTTATTGAAAACGTCGTTTCTCAGATATTTCAAAACCTTTTTTGGAGATTTTTATGTCTCATTCTGTTTTCACAATGAATAAATAGTACTAAGGTCTAGAAGCAGAGTATTACTGTTTAATTTTAATCAAGATTTAAATCGTGGAGGGAAATTACTAGAAAGTATAATCACAGATTGTAGATACCCATCGGCAGTCTGGTTCTTTTCGTACACATACTAATTTTCACCTACCAAAAACAAACTCTTCTGATGTAAATGCACTCAAAACCAAAGCTAGTATTCTTAATGCAAAAATTCTTAACCCTTTGACGCGCGCGATATTATTTTTATAATTTTTTTAACTAAAAACTCTAGAAATTGAATATTATTATCCTAGAGACAAATAATATATGAATTTAAAAACATCTACTCTTGCCCATTGTTCTGTGGGTTGTGGTCACACTGTGAAACCACCCCGCGTCTAGGACTTGAAACTTACCGAAGTAAGTAGGAAAAAAAAACTTACCTTTCTCCGTGCACGTTTCCAATAATACCAATAATTTCCAATAACAATAATTTGTTTTACGAATTTAAAACAAAATGCATGTAGGAATTGCATAATACATGATATATATATATTTTTACATTATTTTGCAAAGTAAATCGTCAGAAAAAATTAAAAAATAAACATTTATGTAATTTTTCTATAGCAGTGAAATATAAGTACATACATAATAAGGACATTGATAAATGGTAAAAAACTCAATAAAATAAGATAAAAAAAGAATTCAGTGGTTTTTTTTTTTTTTTTTAAATTTCAAAGATTTTTTTTTTTTTTTTTTTTTTTTTTTTTGTGTGTGTGTGTGTGTGTGTGTGTGTTGTCACATGTTCAAAGCAGTTTTGTCTCTTTGGTACATGCATAGACCCACATTGCACGTTTCGCACATACATCTTGTTCTATGAGGTTTCTTCCTTGTGCTACAAAATGTACACTGCCTGGATTTAAATTTCACTGGTACATGTCTAGCGTTATTTAGTTTCTTTTCATCTGGCACACGAAATTTGTGGTTTTTTACGTTAATCAAGGGGCTTGGTCTTTTTGGCTTTGTACGGGTCGTTCGTTTCTCATTCATACTTATTTTATTCGTATTTCGTCCCAAAATATTAAGACAATAATTTTAATTTAAATAAAACTTTTACGCAATTTCTATTTTTAAGTATGGCAAAGTATATTTACATTAAATTTAAACTACAGGAAATAATTTATAAAATCACAATACTAGCTTGGGGAGCAAGTGTGTTGATGTCAGAGAAAAGTATTTGGAAAAGAAAGACCTTTTTACTGGGCAGGTGCATGTATTGTTTAGTAATAAAATAACTCTGTGGTTTCAAAGCTCTTTATCTATATCCGGGTAAAAATAAACATTCCTATTTGAAAAGCAAGCGAACGCCATTGAGAAGCAAACGCCAGTGGTTTCGAGGCGCGACCACAGAGCCTCTAGACTAGAGGATTGTAAGCATTGTGCTCTAGTGGCGCAGTGGTCACGCCCTGAAACCACATAGCAAATGCCATACATATAAAGGGTTTTTTTTTTATATATGCAGTTTAATTACTGCAATTTTTTTTGTATGATAGAAATCATGATGTGCGAGACTAACTTTCCAAATTTAAAGTTGCTTATATTAATAAAAGGAATTTATTTTGTCTCATCGAAAACGAATTTTAAAAGGCATCCGATCTGAAGTATTAATACCTAAAACGTACTATATGATTCTACAGTCATTTTGTGTTATTTAGATGTAAAAGATCAGCAATCAATTCATTTTCACTCTAAAATTTCGGAAAAAAGAGGAGGAAAAAAATTCGGAAAATGGTGGTTTCAGGGCGCGACCACCGCGCGTCAAAGGGTTTAACTGAGGATATTTATCTTTTGAGAAGTCAACCAAGTTAATTAACTTTTATTAGAACACTCCAGCGTACCACCTAAAACAAACTGAAAAATTTTAGTACCACCACTACATTTAACAATGATTATTTTTCAATTTCTCGCTAGAAATATTTAAAAAAAAAATATTTTTATGGAATTTACCATTTCATGAATTCGTCGACTTTCTTTATTTTTGATAAAGAATATTATTAAATTCATTAGCCAGTTTTTCTTTGAATAATGTTAAAATGATACCTTTAGATGCTGGTAATATAAGGTTTTCTCCTATAGCGTGCCCAGGCAAGTATTAGGCTTACTAAATAACTAACTAACTAGCTTCCAAAGCCTTTTCCCTTGGCGTAACTACACCTTTCATTACTTGCTTACTATTTTTTAAATTTCCCAATAAAATATTCTTCAGATTTATCCTTCAAACTTGCATGCTTAGATTCAAGATGCCTTTTAAGAAGCAGTGCTTTATACATTGATTGGATAATACTTTACCGCAAGCAACACATTGAGGTTGAGGGTCCATTTCATCTCCATTCCAAGCAAACCCAAATGATAAATAACTTTCATCATATTTTTTACAAAATATTTTTCTTTTCTTTTTAATATTCTTAGTGCTGGTAGATTGTCCTGGATCCATCACCTGTGAATCCTCACTTTTCCGCTTAGTCAATCCTAGCATTTTCATTTTTAATATCTAGTTTTCTTTTCTTATTTTTCCACAAATATTTAACTGCAATGTATTAAGAGTTATTATGAAATGTATTAAGAGTTCTTAGAAAACAAACGACAATATTCTAAAATCGCATAAAAATTAAGAATTATCAAGCAACATGAAGACCAAATACCTGCTATTAAAACTAAACTCAGTGGCGTAACAGCCCTAATGGGCCAAGGCCTGCAGTGTCCGAAATCTGCTTTTTTGACCGTGGGCCCCAGGGTGCTTAAGCATATTCCCTGAACAAGGGGTCAGCTTGTCGCAGGACCCCCAGTGTTTAGTTCCCAAGCGAATTTCGTACTCATTTTATCGACCCAAGTGATGGAAATCAAGGCATAAAAGGCTGAGTCGACCTTGCCCAGCGCGGGAATCGAACCCCGGACCTGTTGTGCTGCTGCTGCGCGATGCGCTAGCCAAATACCTGCTATTAGAGACAGCAAATCGACATAAAAACATGATTATAATTAAAAATAGAGCAAGATGAACCCAGAAATGGTGGCGACATAAAGTGTAGACATGCTAATAAATCGATTAACTCTAAAAAGAATTAATGAGGTACTGTTATCATTTTATAGGAACTTATTTTTATTCCGTATTAAATACAAAATCCATTTCTATTGCTCCTTTTAAAAACATCGCTTATGACAAATTTTATTATCTCTATGGCTAAAAGAATATCTGTTAAAATAAAAACGGATTGTTTTGCTAAAGTTTATGAGCTGTTGTTAATCTTGAACGAAGCTCAGATCGCATAAATTTACGAGTGTTTGAGAAAAAATAAAATAAAATAAAATAAAATAAAAACTTAACCGGGCGGTGGGAATATTCGTTTTTTTAATTTAAAAAACTTTGGCTTTTGGTAACACGCTGTGTTCCTAGAGCATTTACTATCGTTATCAAAAGTAGCTTAAAGTTTTTTAAAAACATTCTTATATCCAGTGTACTTAATTAACTCATTTCTAATTACATTATAACATTAGTTGAATTCAGCAAAACTTACTTTTTCTGAGGCCGCCCTATTCTTTTCGGCGACGCCATTTGACGGCGACAGCCCTTTTTAGAACAACAAATACATGTGAAAAGTAGTTGTAAGTCCACATGATAGAAATCGCTTCGCACACAGAATGGAACTACAGGTGAAGTCAAGCTGATGCACACCCCATGGAAACCTTAGAAGAATAGACAACCAGAGGAGCGGGGCGCACGCCGCTAACCGACATTCCGGCAAGAAAGCGTAGGACGATGCCTGGTTTACTTTACAACACTGAAGCCTATGGCGTTTATCCCCATAACGCTTGGTAATTATTAAATGTGATAGTTCGTATGAGATTATGAAAGCCACAGCTTCTTCCAAATAGATTTAATAGATCTGATTAAAACATTTTTTTTACTGCATTTCACGCGTTTTTTTCATGAGTAATCTTGTACAAAATCATTACTTTGGTTAAACGGTAAAAACTCTAAGCACAAATTATGAACTTAATTTTGCGTAAAATAAAGTAAAATAAATAAGATGTAGTACTGATGCTTTGAATAAATAAGGAAATAAAAAAGATCTGATATTTTTAAAAAATTAATGAACATTTTCAGGCAGTGATTTTCGAAAATAAAACATTACAAAACAATCATGTATTTGATATATCATGGTAACTATTAACATTAAGAGAATATTATTTTAGTAATTTATCAAATTCGGAGCATAAAATGTCTGAAGTAATGAAGGGGGGGGGGGGAAGGTAAAATAAATCTAGAAGCATCAGATTTAAATTATGCCAAAAAGAACCGTTTTTTAAGTTTGTGATTTTATTTTTTATATTCCATATTTCGTGAATATATGTCTTCGCCTTAAACCCCAACACATTGACAACAGCATATCTTTACAATTTCCACACTGGAAGAAAAATGTTATTTTTCGTAGAGTGCTCGCTTGAATTCGTACGTTTGTAATCAAAAATTCGTTAAGGTTTTTACAAAAATATGAACTAGATAAACAATTCGAAATTCGCAGCGTTCCATGGCCCATGTCGGTGGGAAGGATTACATTACTCAAAATTTTCTGCTCTAGATATGCGTTTTTGTCACAGGCGAGAAATATACAGATTCATGAGATTCTTATTATTAATTCTTTAATATAATACAGGGCAATAATATTTGTAACAACAATTTGCAAGGGACACGACATTTATAGTAAAACAGCGCAAAAAATGCCACTCGAAACCAACAGCCTTTTCCTTGAAAAAGGCTACCGCCCCTTGGACTAATAAATTAAACTAACAATAATAAAAAAAAATCTGCGAACTAAAAATAAATTTAAAATAATCATTATAAAATACAAGCAAAATAATTATTACGTTAAATACAATTTTAAATATCGATAAAGATATAAAATTATGATGTCAAAGTGTGTATCACTGTGATGTATCTGAAATATAATTGTAATAAAAATTCCTTTATAGAAATTGTGATATAATATCATATATAATTTTAAAAAAGCAGCACAATTAGAATTTTTAAAAACAAAAACTTTCAAAATTCGTTTTTAAATATTTAGTATTTTTACTATTTACCACTAATAAAAAGCATAAAATTGCAAAAGAAATGCTTTTTTTTGAATTGTCTATTAGTTCAGATTTAAAATATTATTTTCTAAAAGAAGTTTCTAAAGAAGAAGTATTAAAGAACGCGATTGGTTAGAAGACATTTTGGGCAATTCCAGTGAATGATCTGGCCCCCTAGTCGCCCGACATGAATCCCATCGACATTTAGGGAAATCTCGAGAGGTCAGTTCGTACCAAAACCCTGCACCGTCACACTTTCACAATTAGGACGTCTATACAGGAGCAGGATCAATATCCTGCAGGGGACTTCCACGACTGTAGATCCATGCCAGTGCGAGTGCGGCACTTCGCCGGGCAAAAGGAGGACCGACAAAATATTAGGAAATATCCCATGACTTTTGTCACTTCAGTGTATACTTGTAACACATACTCAATAATACAAATGTAGTACGTGCCAATAGCTTTAAGTAATATTTTTCATAACATGTCAGGTATCTTTTCCCCTGCCAGCCAGAAGATCGGAAAAATGCTCTCTCTCTCTTACTCTTCACAGCATCCAAACAGCTTCAAGTTTAACTCTTCGCATAACATCCCACATCCGATTCTGGGGTCAAGTGTTTGCCTTTGATACGAAAACATTTTACGCAAATGTCAGATGTTTCAACCGTAGAGTTACAGCGGCATCGTGTTTCTCTTCCTAGCATGTTAAATAGAATAATTTCTAAAACTTTTGCAGTTATTCTAAAGTTTAGCAGTAATACCTTCAAATATTTGCATTAAAATTTCTTTGCTTTTAGGCAGAAGAATGTGGAATTATTAAAAGAGGAAGTCTATCGAATGGAACACTTGTTGACCCAGGAAGGTAACGTAGTCGTTTAAAAAATAATTTAATTTAAGAACGACTTTGGATTGCATTTTATCTCAACGCTTCTTACCTATACAAAATGCTTTATTCTACTGAATGTGCGAAGTTATTATTCCTGTCTATGGCATCAGAGAAGAATTTAATCATTATCTCCCTATAACATTAATAACAATTCTCATAATATGAATTTCTTTTGAATATTTCCGATTAAAGAAAAATAAAAACAAATTTTACATAAGTTATTGGTTCAAATCTGAAAATGATATGAAATAAAATCTGATGTGGACAGCACATGACTTCCTTGTAATGGCCTATTAAATTATACACATATTTTCCTGAATTCCATTTAAACTTATTTCCTCGACTTTCATTAGAGATATATTTCTCATTCAATCAATTCAGTTCTTACTTTGTGGCAAGTCAAAAAACGCATAAAAGCTCAAAACATCTTCATTCAAAATTGTAAAATACAGATAAACATAAAACACCAGATACAGCTAAAAACAGTTGAAAAATTTTTTATTGCAATTAAAATTAGGGTTTCTACGCAAAAATCATGAAACAAATCAGCGGCCAGGAACACACATTTTCCGGTGCTTAAAACTGAAAGTTTACTTTTGTTCCCACTTGTCAAAAAGATACAGAAGTTTGTGCAAGAATTGACTCAGTTTTCTGCTAAGACTTTCAAAGTTAAAAAATGGAGGCTTCGTTAGGCATAGCATCACTTAAACGATTTTTAAACTCTTGACAATTCTACAACTGTTTTATGCAGATTAACTAAAGGCAAAAAATAACATTAACCGGAACATAAGAACAACATAATTAAGTTGTAGAGTCATTAGGTTAATTGGAAACAGAAAAGATGAAAAATATGCAACCGCCTTCGCCGGGAATCGAACCACGCACCTAGGAATACCGGCCCGCGTGCTACTGGTAACCACGAAGGCACGCTAGGGATGGGAGAATAATTATATACTCCCCTTCTTAAAGGCGAATGGGTTTATGGACCTAATCGCCAAATCCTGGGTGCGGAGAATCATCATCCACAACATTTTAGTTCGGCGCCACTTGTAGATTTAGTATATTTTTGGATGCGAAGATGAAAATATGCAACCGCCTTCGCGGGAATAGACACGGACCTCTGAATACCGGCCCAGCGTGCTACCGTTACACCACGAAGGCACGCTAGGGAAGTGGGAGAATTACCTTATAAAGTCACTTTTAAAAGCAAAAAATTCATAATTTACCAACATATAAGAATAAAAAACTGATCTCCCTGAGCCATGTAATAGAGCAGACATACATACACAAGTATGTATATATTGCACTAAAATTGATTACAATATGGTTGCAAAGACCTATTGCAACCAAAAGGGAGTTGCACAACAACAATTTATGGCTATCCTTTATACAAAATTTCAACATTCTTAGGTTACTCGTTTTTAATTTATGCGAAATACATACATAGATACATACGTACTGACGTCACGAAAAAAATCTCTTTTGAATCTATTTTACAATCCGTTTTGTAAAAAAAGAGTCCTTTATTTTGTTCGTACGTACAGATGTCACACAAAACTATTGTTCAAATTGACTCGCTAGCGGTAAAAATGCATATTTTGGATGAAATATGATACCTGAAATTTTCGTGATTTTAATACTTCCCTTATTTCGTATAAGGAAACAAAAACTGAGAAAACAGCGATTTATTTAATGTAATTTATGGAGACAAGAAAGCTACTAATATGAAGCTCTTGCTGTTTGGACTACTTTTTTATGTTTTTAAAGTCAAAAATACGTTTGGTTACAGATTCTTCTTCTTACATTCCTTAAGTGAATCTGTTAACAAATTTTGTAAAAACATTTTAAGGGACAAAAAGAATAATAAATGGTAAATATAAGGCACTAATAAGAATATTGGTTAATTAATCGACAGTAGAAGTTTACTTTTTGTCGTTTCTAAAGTGCTCACTTTATGGTGTAGCACTTTTAATGGTCAGCAGTATAGTATGCAGTAAAATAAAATATATAATTAGGTAAACGAAAATTCATACAGAATTATTGAACTGTTATAAGAAGAATTCTGAAGCCTGAAAATTAGAATTTCCTTGACTTATTGCATGGAACAGAAAAGATGCTTTAATAATAAATATCTGTAAATAAATGTTACTGTGGAAAAGTAGTATTGATGAGATTAACTGAGAGTGCTAAAGCAACAAGAATCAGCGTAATATTCATAAATTTTCAGGACTAGTAAATGTAGAACTTTAAGTTCAGAAAGGCAAAATGCAGAAGAAATTCTTCAGAAATTCAGAATTTCATAATTTCAGAAATTCAGAACTTTAAGTTCAGAAAGGCAAAATGCAGAAGGCAAAATTAGCTGCACTCCTGCTGCTAAAAAAGCAGATTCTACATTTAGACCTTCGAAATTTTCTTGAAAGATTTATGAGTATTACGCCGATTGCTTGTTGCTTTAGCACTTCCAGTAATCGTTATCCGACGTATTATTTAACTCAGCATTGGTGAGAGTTTAACTTAATACATGTATCATTTAATACATCATCTATTAAATACAGTTTATTTTTCAGTCGCCGAAATTCGTCAAGTAATCAGCTCATGGCTAAAGCTAACGCTATTATTGGTAAGTAAATCCTTAACAAAAACTTCGCGAAATTCAGTGATGTGTATATGATAATTCAATACTAAAATGCTATTCTTGTTATTCAAAAGTACACTCTGTACAAAAGTGAATAAATAAATAAATATTTTTTTAATCTGAAAGGTTTCAAATTTTAAAATTAAGTCCAAAGTTTTTTTTTTTTTGTTTTTTTTTTTTTTTTTTAAACGTTTTGTGTGTATTTATTATTAATAAATGTTATATGTACTCAAACCATAAAATTCAGTTCAACAGCAATATCGCAAAGAATTTTAAAATAGATATTTAGAATTTCGATACAGGTCTCGCGCTTGGAGATTAATTTTTTTTTTTTTTCAAACAGTGTTGCAATACTCGCTTTGCAACGTTTAGTTTTTTCATCAAAAAATTGACGTATACAAAATGAATGATAAAAAATTTTCAAATTGAATAGGGCTTCCCATGCCCAAATTATGAGATTGTGTTATTCAAATTTTGATGTTAGGTACCGTGTTTTATCACAATGCGAGAAAAAATACTGTATGCAGTTCTGCATTTTTATTTCTTTAAATATAATACAGGCGATAATAATTGGTGTCAACAATTCGAAAAAGTGATTCGCCGTTTAAGTTTTCAAAGAAAAATGACAGACGCAGTTAGAAGTACTGCAGGGCAAATTGTCCCTTTGGACTTTAACAAAACTGAAAAATAAATAAAGAAATAAAGATATATATTATATATATTATATATATATATATATATATATACAGGGTGCTTATAAGACTCTATTCAGATCCCTCTAGAGCCTGTTCTACTTATTGAATTTTGATGAAATTTGGTACACATGTTATATGGACTATGGGGAAATGATTTCTTCAATAAAAAAATAGTTCAAATTTTGAAACACCAGTGGGAATTGTGGCGCCGAAAGAAGGACAAAAAATTTGTCAGAATCATTAAAATTTATTCAGTTACAGAATGTTCTCAATATGTGCTCTATTGATATCAATTACGTATTGAAAGCGCATTATAGCGTGTTCAATGGTAGCGCGAAGTAACTCTCGAGGGATTTCAGCAAGATGGCTTGCTGGCCATCTTGCTGAAACGCCGTTCAGATAAGTCCTAATTCCTCCTCCATAAACACGGTCTTTTAGGAATCCCCACGGCCAGGAATCACAGGGATTTAAGTGGGGTGAACGAGGAGGCCAGGATTCCGGAAACGATGTGGATATTACATAATTTTCGCCAAAGTTAGCACGAAGCAGTTCTTCAACATGGTCCTTTTCGCAATTCCTTTAAACGACGATATTCACGCAATGCGGCTAAACTATTGCTGCCGTTCTGATAAAACAATTCTATCAAAAAAGCTCGATATTTCTTCTATAAGGGCACGATTAATGATGACAAAGGCACGCAGAATAATTTTCTGGTTCTGACTAGAAGTCTCTTTATAGGTTTGACTAATTTGCATAAGGAAGTTTTGAAAATTTCCATCTGGTGGTCAAAATTTGAACGATTGCAGAAATCTTTTCCCCGTAGTCCATAAAACTTATATACCAAGTTTCATCAAAAGCCGATGGGCAGAACGGGTGCTACAGGGGGTTTAGAAATTTAGAGCCAATTTTTCACAAAGACAAAAAATTTAAATTCATAAGCAATAAATTAAAAAAAATCCTTTAAATGCGAAAAAGAAGAATTTAACAACTGTTGTTTAACAAATGTGGAAAAGATTCGTTCTAAATTTCTTTCTTGATATATTTAGGATCAATTTTTAGCGGCATAATGAGCGAAACTTCTTGGAAGGATTATAAATTTTCCTTTTAAAAATTTATATGTATATGGAGGACAGTTCCATAGGCCGATTGACGAAATTTAACTTGTGTTTTTCATATCTCGAAAGCGCGACTTAGTGTGAATATTAGATCTATACACTGAAGTGCCACTAAATTAGGGATAGCTAGTCAATAACGAATTGGGCCTCCTCTGGCCTTTATAATGGCTGCCAAACGACGAAGCATAGATCCAGTAAGTTTCTGGAAACATTCTACGGGAATGACTTGCTAAACATCGGATACAGCTGTCTATAATTTAGGAAGAGTCGCTAGTGTTGTGTGATGAGATTTCAAACCTTTTTACAAAACGTCCGAAAGATGCTCAGTAGAATTTAAGTCGGGGCTTTTAAGTAGCCAGTTTATGACAGAGAAGAACGCTCATCCAATCAGACAGAAGCCAACCGGGACCTGTGAGGGGTGCAGTTATCTTGCCGGGATACTCCATTTCCGTGTGAATGACAGAACAACATAAATAGATGGAGATGATCGCCTAGCAACTTTCCGTACCGAATCATATTGAGGGAAGTTGGTACAAGTACCAAAGATCCCAAACACGCCAAGAGCCCCCATGGCCTTGTACAGTTCCAATACGCCATACAGGGTTCATCGCTTCACGAGTCTGATGCCATATTCTCAGCCTCCCATCGGTATTAATTAGTCGGAATAGAGACTCGTTACTCCTTGCTACTGATTTCAAATCACTAGAGTCTATTCTCTATATTCTCTTGCCCAGGCAAGAAGTGCAGCTCGTTGGCATGCAGCTCGATGGCATTCAGCAAAGGTACTCTCGAGGATCTACAACTTCCGGAGCCCATATGGTGAAGCGAGCGTTGCACGATCCTCTTACTTGACTGTACGACTGTCGCCCTAATTCAGCTTGGTGGTAATATGAGCTAATGTTTGTCTTCGTAGACTTCGTCTCACACCACACTTGTTCTAGGTTAATTGTCCTTTTGCAATTTGCCCAATGGCAAGTTCTTTTTCCCACCATCCGTGTATTCTCGATGTACTCTTGACACTGTCGACCTTGAAACTCCTAGCCCGCTGAGGATTTTGGAAATTGAATGGCGCATGCGTCGAGTGCCTACACTCTGTCCGAGATTGAATCTGTCTAAATCAGAAGTTTTACCCAGGGAATTGAAACGACTAATTAACAAGAACCATAGTACTAGCTGCATGTGCATTTACCACAACTTCCTCATGTGAGTACAGATGCCGTGCAGCGCTATAAATTGTGCATAGCCATGTCTATCCCTAATTCAGTAGCACTTCAGTGTATATAGCATTGTTCTAACGTAGGTATTTCGACACAAAATCGTTGTTTTTTTTTTTGTTTTTTTTTTTTTTCTGAAATGGCATAATTCTACGACTCAATTATGCCAAAGTGCCATATTTTGTCAAACTCGCACGAATAAGTTTTAAAAGTTTGCTCTCAAAATTTTAGCTCCTCATTATTAATTGAATTTGGTATATATTTATTAATATCTTTTTATTTCAATTTATCTGATTCTTTCTTTCATAATTCGAAATTTAGGTTCAATCCGAATAAAATTTTCAGATATTTATGATCTATTTTTTAAATTTGTATTTTCTGATAATTTGTATAAATTTTTTGAAAAAAAAATGTGTATTATAACCTATAAAAGTTTTACCATCATTTTAAAGTACATGTATATCTAAGCATACCTGCAGAAAATTAGAGTTTTTATTTAAAATTTTCCAAGATATACATGAATTTCCATACTGGAGCAATTTGAAATTTGGCACCTTTTTTTTAAGCAATTATAACTCCAAATGTGGCTTAGGGATTTGTTATGCACTTCCCCCCTTCGTGCACAATGAAAGGGAAAGGACACTAGGTTACCGCAAACTAAGAATTAATTAAAAAGTGAATTATTTTTGGCCCAAATTGAAAAAAGTTCGCCAGAATAAATTTTTGAATTTCTCAGTAAATTTCTCACCAAATTTTACAAAATTTAATAGTTAGACATAATTTGAGTCGTAGAATCGAAATACGTGGAAAAATCAGCACAGCATTTTAGAAAATAAGATAATGATGAAAACAGCAACGAATAATACAGTCAAAAGTCGTTAATCCGGATCGGTCGGGGACCCTTCCTCCCTATCTAACCCTTCCCCCACTACACCTCATCCCCCACTTGCCCACCCCCCCTCCTCTCCCACATAGGAGGAAAGGAAGGCCACAACCTCTATAGATAATCAGGTAAATTTTCGTAAGATGGCAGGCAGAAATTCTAAAATTAAAATATGAAACCGTTAATTAATTTAATTTATGAAATATAAGAACAATTATGATCTAAAGGGTATCAAAATTCAAACAAAAAGCTTAATATTTATTTTTTTAATTTATTAAACATTATGTCTTCCAATTAAGACACAATAACACGCCGAATAATAAATATAAATTCAGAAGTCAAACAACAAAAATCAGCGTTATTACAAAATTTCACAGGACTAGTTTCGATGGTTTTACCGAACTATCATCCTCAGCTGCAAAACCGCAAATGAACGAGATAGGATATAATGATTAGATAAGATAAGATAAAAAAGCCTGGACAAGGAGATAAGCATACTGGCGCCATCTGTTGGCATGAAACCAGAACTAAAACATAATTTCTTCAGAATCTGAAGGTGAAGATTTGGATTGGAATTAGGATCGTTAACTAGAAGAGAAATATATTTTTTTGAATGTGAAATGCCTCTAGAAATCCAGTTCTCCAATGGAAGATGTTTTTTTGAATAATTTTGGCAGCAGAAAAATTGAAAAGTGATTTTCGGACCAACAATGTTGAGCAACAGAAGACTTCTGTGTTTCCTTTTTTCTAACATATGCCTCTCATGTTCTTTGACGCGAAATTTAAGGCTCTCTTAGTTTGGCCAATGTAAATTAAACCACACTGGCAAGGAATCCTATAAATACCCAGGAATTCATATCCGGAATGGGGTCCTTGAGTATAGAAGTTGGAATTTTATTGATGGGAGAGAATAAAACAACCCGAAAGTTAAATTTCTGCAAAATATGTGCAACTTTATAGCTAATTGATGGAAAGAAGGGAATGACAACAGAATTTTATAATCTCCTAAAATAAGAGTGTGGCTTTTAGTGTGTTGAGATGAGAATTTTTTAACTGCTTGATTAATAATGTTGGTGAAAAGCCCCTGTCAATAGCTATTGC